TCGAACGGCCGTGATAGCTGTCGGACTTCGCGATCTTTCCCTTCATTCTATCTGCAATTGTCGACTTGGGGACATTGTATATCTCTGCGGCGCGTCGGATACTCAAGCGCGGTGTTGATCGAATCGCATTGATCGCGAGAAGAACTCGGTTTTCTGGGAAGCTGTCGGACATTGTTGTGGTAGAGAAAACGCGTGTTGAAGTTGGGTGGTTATGGTGGGGGAAAATGTGTCCGAGTCAATGGGGTGTCCGAGTCAATGGTGGATCACGTTAATGTTTGCAGCCAATTCACTCCTGGGCCAACAACTGGGAACGACACAGTCTGGACACCAAGTGATGGGGACGAGAGTTCTGTATTAATATGATGACACGTAGGTTGGTTAGGTAGGTGTAGGTAGAAAGAGTGAAGTGTGAGTGGGCCGTGTGCTAAGCCGTGTAGTGGTGTGCAGGGAAAGGGACGTGTCAGAAAAGACAAGGAGAAAGAGCATACGCCCCCAAAAGATGACCCCAGGTAATATCCGTCCACCGGCCGTTTCCGCCCAAGAACAAATTGAGAAATGTCCCAACACAACCCAAATGAAAAATAAAGAAAGCTCGCCAGACCCCTGACGCTTCTGCGTGCCCTGTCGCCAACCTGCTCCATGAAAACCGGCTCCTTCCTTCGCCATTCTCCACGAAACAACGTTCTTTATCCCAGTCCTTTCCATAACTGTCTCCTATATACTACCGCGATCGAAACGAATGCGAAATCGTGTTGTGGACGGCTTTTGTAATTGGCTTGTTTTGTTGTTTGTTTATCGGTTTGGTTGGGTTGGATTGCCGGGACGATGCTGCTTCAAAACCAAGCAGGCGACCAGACAGTCGTTGCCGTAGTCGTCTCGTATGCTGCCGGGGATTTACCCACTCAGCCCAACTCAGCCCATGTTGCCGGATCGAAACCAGGTCAGACGCCGAAATAGTGCCAAATGCCAATGCGCCAGAAACCCAAGACAAGGACGCTCCCGTTGCCCATTCCGCCCTCCGCTGCTCCGTGCCCACCTCTTTTGTGTAAGCAACCATGAATGACCAAGATTCACACGCCACTCCCGCTATTCCATTTCCGAAATACGCCCGCCCGACTCTCCGAAACTGAAAACAACCCCGTTCGTTAGGTTTAACGACGCCATCCTTCTGATGTCCTTACAGCCTCCCGCAATTCCCAACATCCTGTCGAACTTAGACCCCAGGACTCCGTATCCGAAACGCAGCCAATCGTTGCCGTGGCGGAGACAAGAAAGTTTCAAACGAGAATCAACCCCAGACGCTAGCCTGGACACCTAGGCCGGCCTTGCTGCCCCAGCCATTAGGACGAGCGCCCCAGCCGGAGAGGCCGACATTGGGACCCTCGGCGGCTGCTGAAGACGGGTTGGCGGGCGGAGCGCTGCTCAAAGCGCCAGTTTCGCCGCCGCCAGACGCCGTGTACCCGTGGCCAAGAGGCGAGGCGAGCGGAGTGGTGGACCGCTTGTTCAAGGCAGGGTTGGTCGGGGTGCCGGAGATCGAGGGGCGCGTGCCAATGGGTGCCACAGAGCCCTGAGTGGGCTTGCTTCCAGGGGCACCCTGGCGGGGCGGAGATCCTCCCGGGGACGAAACGCTGGTACGGGTCGACTGCTGGGCCGCCGCGGCATCGTATGCACCTTTACTACCGGGGTTAGACTGCGGGCTCGAATTGCTGTTGGCTCGGGCCTGGTCGGACTCGGCGGGCTGCGATCCCTGACCGGCCTCGGCCGCTGCGGACTGAGAACCAGCATCCGGGTGGAGTTGCGGCGCGCGCCCGTATTCGTATGCCAGCGGGGAATGGCCGCCGCGCAGACGGGGCGGTCCAGCCGGAGGGCCGGGAAGACCAGCCCTAGGCGCACTTGTTTCATCGACGTAGCCGGCTGCGTCAGCGTATGAAGCGTCTCCATACATAGCACCACGCTGCTGGGCGATAAGCTTTCGACGATCATCCTCGGACAAGCTGCCGGGGCTTATGGTACGGTCAGGCCTGTTGGCGCCGTACGACATCTCGGCGAGGACGGCTATAATAACACCTCGAGTTAGCCCATATCCCTTAACATTCTGTCTCGCAGCCGAGCCACGGAGATACACCCCCAATGGTGTCCATCTTTACAGCGTTTAGGAGCACGGGATGATAGGCCGTTGAACCGCACTTGTGGTGCAATACAGTTGAAGATAGAAGGCCTGAGCTCCGAAGACGCCGGAAGCTTCTCTTTCAATGATTTTGTCTTGTTTTCTCGTTCTGGTAGGAAGACTGATGCTATACAGAAGAGGGCGGCCTACTTCGGTTGTATTGCTGCTCTTGATGGTAGTTCCGCAGCTCTCGTTCCCGCTGAGCGGCCATTCTCCTCTTGGCCTGCATCATTTGCTCTGCCTCGTTAGAGCCGCGGGAGGGCTGGTGCCGCTGAGAGGCGTAGAAGTTCTGCAAGTTCGAGCCCGGGTGGGAACCGCGCGCATCGCCGAACTCGGCCATGGAGTGGGGACGGGAACCGGGGCCAACAGGCGGACGTCCGTCTAACATTCAGGAATCAAAGGTCAGTAGGTCGGGCTTGTCGAAGATGGCCCGGCCAGTCCCAGGCATACTTACCGAAAACTGGGTACATTCTGGCGGGGCCGGGATAAGGTAGGGACTCACGGCGGCCCCCGGCAGCTCCAAACATCTTGCCGCTCTTGACGAGGTTGTCAATGGCACGGTCGACCTCTAAAAGACTGGCAGTCAGCTCTGGCACGTTCTCTTATTGTTCCATGTCCCACATCCTAGTGCCCTGAAACTCCCAAGACTGGCGGGTCGAGGTGGGAAATTCCCACGACAGGGCTCGGGTACCGAGAATGGAACGGGGTGATACATACCCTCTAGTTGATGGGTGAATGCGGCGGGTTCTTCGCGAGGGATGGTGGAGCTAGCACCTGTAAAGGAGCAGATTAGCGGACAGATCATCGAGCGCGTCGAAGGCCTGGATGTACGAACCAGAGCGCGCGGGCGGCGGAGTCTGGTGGTCCCAGCCAGCCTGGCCCTGGGGAGGCCATTGCGAAGGGTCGTAGTACGCCGACATGGTGACGAAGGTCTGTCGAGGCTGCAACCGGAAAGCAGGAGCGTGTATCGGAGGCGATGCGAATCCAAGGTGGAGAGTTCCAGCTCAACGTGTCGACTTTGCAGCTTGATTAGGTTAGCATGCGGTTCACGCAATGCACGCGGTGGCCGGTGCGAAGAACCGACGCGACAACAACATGTGCCAGGCCAGCTCGTGGTCAGGCTCGGGTCTGCTTGGAGCTTGGGGAAAGGGGGTAAGGAAGCCGAAGCGCGAGGATGAAGTTTTGGCTGGCTGAGAGTGGCGCAACGAGGGGGAAAAAATCATTTCCCGGCAAGGTCCCCACCCAACGTGCGCATTATAATCGCACTCACCTACAAGTCAACGCTGCCCGTCGCTGAGACTGTCCCGATCCGAACCAAAAAGAAATCGATTGGCAAGACGACCACGAAGAGGACGGGAAAAAGGGAAAGAAGGGTGGACTTGGGCACGCAACCCAACGCGCGGGCGGTTTTTTTTATGTCGCGAGCCGGGAGTGGAGGGTTGCTCCAGAAGGAAAAGACCGGGGAGATGAGGTTCTTAGGCCCGGCGCAAAGGACGGGACGTGGGTCGATCCGCCTGTGGATGGTCAACTGGTGGACCGGGGCGTGGTCGCTCTTGCAAGACAGGTGCAGTCCCCCTTTCGGTTCGTGGAAGGCGCATGGGGCCAGGGTACAAAAGTGGGCTCATTGACGCCGAGGAGGTAGCCAGCAGGGTGCGCCTGCTTTGGGAAAAGGGGCAACTCAAAAATCCGCAATCACGAACTTTATTGACGCTCTTCCTTTCAACAGGCTGAAACGCTGCAAGTTAAACGGCGCGCTGGTTATGACCCGAAGCCTACCTGCAGGTACGGATTGTTCAGTCGGTCTTCTCTTACACGTAGTAGCTCAATTGGATGTCCCATCATTACACTGTCATCGGGTCGTTCTAGGGTTCCATCTCCTTGCAGGATAGCTTCAATAACGGTACAGATTTCGGGATGTTAGGCAGTATCCGCACCGGTAAGTACGGTGAGCCCCGTTAAAGTATTTTACGCGTAATGGAAGGTAACGTTAGTTGAGCCGGATCTGTCATAGAATTTGGCAGCACCACGGCTTCAACGTATGATCATCCCTGGAAGATTTCACTGTGTGAGGCCTGCGGTAGCTTACTTTACTAATCGTCCGTACTCCGCATAGGTCGAATTTACCGAAAGGTTAAAAACGGGAAGACGGCTGGTCCGAGCTCCAATTGAGCTGTTCTTTGACGATGGCTTCGGCCGGTGTTATGGATATCTGCGACGCTCACATTTCGAATTAACGAGGAGGTAACGAGGCAAAAGTGACACCCTGGAAACCCATCCATCATTTGAGAATGATCGAGGTTAGCTTGAATGGTGTTGAAGACGCCGAGACCTTGACCAAGGCGGGCTGGTGCGGGTGTGATGGGTACCCGGTACAGATGGTTGGTTAGGTAGCGCCCAGATACGGAAGGCAGCTCTGAATAGGGAATCCGACGGAAGTGTCATTGGAGCATTCAAGATGGAATGGATGGACTTCCCGCAGGAAAGCCAATCACCATTGGTACTGCGAGAAAGATAGTTCACGAGCTGCCCGTCCTTTCGTGATAATCCCTGCCGTACCTTAGCAGTGACGAAGCCAGTCATGACGAGGTCAGGTCATCGCATCGAGGATCAAGACATGCACCGAGCCAGCCCCCAGTCTTCGGCGACGCTATTTTGAGTTAGCAACGCTCCTCGGAACGGACAGGGGCCATGCTAATGAACAACATTCTTCTAAAAGACGTTGTTCTGTTGGCCTTCAGAGACAATTTTGCCACGAGGACAACCTCGGCAGGTGAAGATGTGAGTGTTCAGCGCTCCCGCTGAGTGGTCTCGTCCCGTTTGTGAACCGTGTCCTGCGAGGCGGGGAGAGCACCTCATAACGCACTTCGGCCAAGATTAACCCGCTTGATGGCGCGGAGTCCGAATCTCCTTCATCCAACAAATCCCAGATTCTCCTCGCGAAGCTCACAATAGCGAAGTCTCGATATCGACATTGCGGTCACCCAGCGTGAGAAGGTCATCGAACGGCTGTGATGCCGAAGCCACCCATCCAACCCGTGCGGGCGTTCTTGCCGTTTCATCTGCGCCCACCTGCGCGATCTTGCTGCAGGAAGCCGAAGAAGATCCCGCAGCCTTAGGAACCGTGTATGGAAGTGTCCTTCAAACCCGCTCAATTTCCCTCGAGTTCCAGAAGTTCGGAAAACGGGGTTTGGTACCGGCGCCATGCATCCTCAAACTTTGGCGCACGCACTCGTAACCGTTGAGGGGCCTGATTTCGTCACAGTGGCCCTCCTATGCAGTACCTGTTTTGATGAAACCGAAACGGAACAATTCTGGAATGGAGGGTTCGACGCTTCGATCGAGACCTGTCTGGTTTCTCACCTTACAACTTTATGGCCCCCTTGACCCACATTACCCTCCTGGCGGGACAGGGTGATCCGTCTGATCTTCGAGCTGGCAATCACCACAGCATTCACCAATGTGATGAGGGCAGTATTCGTTTCCAAGCACAAGAGAGATCACGAGCGCATGATGAGAAGATCGTTCAACCCCAACCGGATAAAACCGCGGCACTATCTACACACGGCCACTCAACCGTTGGTATGGAGTAGGGATATTGCTGCGGTGGCCGATCCCGTTTCTTATTTTCGCCGAGGCGCCGCATGCGACGTCCCAGAGTGCCCAGCGCTCTGCTCAGACTAACGTTATTGGTCCTCTTCCAGGGCTGTCGCCCAAATTTAGGAACTTTGAGACTGCACATTCGTGATAACTAATACAGTACTGAACCTTACAGCACACTCGAGACGAACTTGAGTCTATTACTTACCCCACGCAAACCAGAGCCCAACAGAAAGCCAGCCCGGATTGTAGCTCGACTCTGACACCATCCGGCGAGTCATCTTACCTAGGTAAGCCGGCTTGGCAGGTCAGCCTTGGCTTTTAAGTGGGACACTGTGATTTGTGAGCGGTTTGTCGAGCTGAATATGAACAACCGACCCTCCCAAGAGTCTTCTAAAGCCGGAATAGACCAAAAAAACGGCAGGAGGCGAAAGCAATTGGAACAGGCTCAATCGCGAGTGGGGCGTGTGACACGATTCCAGGTTGCAGCGTGGTAGCTGTCTAGGGACCCGATTCGGTCAGTGTCGGCAACTTGGCTCTTGGATTGGATGACGAGAGGAGACGAAGTGATCGGGAGAGAATCTAAGATAGCAGGTCTCTGGCGGCTTCTTCTTCTCTGATTTCCCCGGTCATGTCTGGTCAAAAGCGTCTTGTATCGTGCCTTTCAAGTAGTGTCTTTTTTTTGAGAGGGAGGACGGGCAACAGACAAGTGCTGCTCTCAAGTCCAGGTTGAAGAGAAGGCAGATATGAGTATTAAAATAACCGGTTTGGGTCAGGTATTCTGCACAGAAGGGGGTTGCTTATCCTGTAGATTTGACATCCAAACTCCCAATCATCCCTCCTCTTGATGACAGTAAGTAAACCCTGGTCTTGTGCCCAGAAGCATGTGGGGGAGGGAAGGGGAAGGGCAGAGCCTGCACATATTTGACTGGCCAAGATTTGTACGGAGGTAATACTAAGGTAGGTACAAGTACAGTACCTCTAGGGATGCTATGTTTGTATGCAATGGGTTGGCGTCGCAGTGCCTACTCAGTACTTCGAGATCTCCATGGATTCCTGTAGAGATATTGAAACCGGATGTCTTTGTCCTTGCTGTCGAACACACCCCCTTCGTCTTTGCTTCAGCCAGCATGTGGCATGGTAACCGCTAATACAACACTTGCCCGTCCGAGACTCGGAAGAGAGAGATTACCTTGGTTCACATCTGAGGACTGCTCCCTGCCAGGCGTACTGCGCATCTAAGACTGGTGAGCAAAGCCTGTTCGAGCCGGTTTCTCTCAGTGTCTCCCCAGTTATTCCTTCACGTCCAGCTCGGTCTGCAAACGGTCGTCACCTAAGCCTCTTGACGTGTGTTTCACTACCAGCACTGGTCAAATGCCGGGTATGGATGCACGAGGCCAAGGTTACGGCAATATGCGGGAAATCCTTGGTCTTGCGTAATTCGTTTACCGAACGCGGGGGCCGCGGGTCTGCAGACAACGGAAGACGCGCCAGGCGCTGCGAGTGGCGCTTGAGAGTTCCAAGGCAGTTAGTTGAGCTCATGATCACTCCAACTTGCACTTGCTTAGGATCACTCAGCTTACGGAACACAGGATAGATCGAGCTTGGGAGGAAATATCTCTTTTCTTTTTATTAGGTATTGAGCTTAAGTGCCATATTTTCAACCTGGAGGGTGACTTCCCATCGGATGGAAGTGAGCCTTGAGACTGAAGTGACCCCCGCGACACCGGCTCCGGTGCCCCACCACATCATCTTGGCGCCGGGGCCGAGTTGATTGGTCGGATGTGGGGCCGTGATCTCGGCCGCTTAACTTAGACCCATCCCCGCTGCCTTTTTCACACCACTTTTTTTTTTTTTTAGCTCGATCACAATTCTTCTTTTCAACCCATCGCGTCGACATTGGATAATCTGTGCGCGACTCCTAAACATCTTTAGTTGCTGCAACTGCCCTTGCGTACAGCCGACAAATTCTCTCATCAGACCGAGTCTCTCCTCAGAGCTGACGTTTCAACCCACAGACTGTGTACGAAATAAGCTATCATTTCACATGTCCAGCTCGACATCGGCTCTCCTCAACCTTCCCACTTTTTCGGCGCACCACTGGATGTGCCGAACCAGACTGCAGTAACTGAACAGCAAGCGACTTTAAGTCTTTGCGCTTGCTCAAGGGGACGTTAGAAAGACTTACACGGGGCGTATCACTTTGCATCTTGCACCTCAGAATTTGTGCGGCTGCAGTCAAAACCTGCAGTCTGACATCTAGTCAACCCGTTATCCAGAGCTTTTATGTCTGGTCAAACCAGACTCTGGCAGACTGTCCACGATCGCGTCTTCTCGCCACTGCGACTCACGACGAAATCTGCCCACGACCAGGGTTATCAGTCGCTCAACTCCGCCGACGATATGGCCGCGCAAAGCTCCGTCACGGCCAACAAGCCTGGCTTCTTCAGGCCGGACGTGAAGGAAGACGATCCCAACTATGGAACCGCCAACAAGCCCTCCGACGTCATCGGCGCATCCTCGTCGTCGTCAGAAGCTGAGGACGCCGCGGTCGCCGCGGGGCTCTCCCACCTCGAAGCTCGCAGCAAGCACTGGTACTCGTACTTTGCCACGCTCGACTTCTGGGCCGTCATCGCCGTCGGCCAGATACTCTCGCTCTGCATCACGGCCACCAACACCTTCAGCAGCTTCCTCGCGGGCGTCAACACCAACATCCCAGCCTTCCAGACGCTCTTCAACTACGCTCTGCTGACCCTTATCTGGCTGCCAATTGCCCTCTATAAGCAGGGCCCGCGCAGGTTCTTTTCGATTGCGCTGCGGGACGGCTGGAAGTACTTCATCCTGTCCTTCCTCGACGTCGAGGGCAACTACTTTACCGTGCTGGCCTATCGGTACACCAACCTGCTCTCGGCGCAGCTGCTCAACTTCTGGGCCATTGTGTGCGTCGTCGTTCTGTCCTTCCTCCTCCTCAAGGTCCGCTACCGCCCCCTCCAGATCGCCGGTATCCTCATCTGCTGCGGCGGCATGGGCGTGCTACTCGCCAGCGACCACATCCAGGGCAACAACGGCGGGACGGGCGTGGACATGCTCAAGGGCGACCTGTTTGGCCTGCTGGGCGCCTCGCTGTACGGCATCAGCAACGTGTTTGAGGAGTGGTTCGTCAGCAAGCGGCCCGTCTACGAGGTGCTGACCTTTCTGGGCATCTTTGGCGTGTGCATCAACGGCGTGCAGGCCGCCATCTTTGATCGGACTTCGTTTGCGGACGCCACCTGGAACGGCCAGGTGGCCGGCTGGCTGGTCGGGTACACACTGTGCCTGTGCCTGTTCTACTCGATGGTGCCGCTGGTGCTGCGCATGGGCAGCGCAGCCGTGTTTGACGTCAATCTGCTGACGGCCAACTTCTGGGGCGTCATAATCGGGACGAGGGTTTTCGGGTACAGCGTTCATTGGATGTACCCCATTGCGTTTGTCTTGATCATTCTCGGCTTGATCACCTACTTCACGGCGGGCAGCATTCTGGGTGATTCCAAGAAGCCGTGGCTGGGGGATAACCAGAGGGATGGCGTCGCGGGGATTGGCACGGCCAAGCTCAAGGCGCTGAACGAGGCAAGGAAGAAGGGACTGGCGGGACCGACCACGGCAGTGCAGGATTGAGGCGGGGGTTGGTGGTGGAGGTGGTGTAATCTGTTGGAGGGTGGAAGGCGTGGGCGTTCTGTTTTCGCGTGATACTCAACGCTCATACGCCATACGCGTAAGGATATGTATGGAAGAATCTTATTTTCGTCACTGAGACAATCTGATGGTCTCTGGAAGTAATAATGGATGATGTTGATGGACTCGTAAAGAGCGAAGGCGAGTATATGCGGGTTAGGGTTCACTCAGCAATGCTTTCTCCTTTCGCGAACAGCCGGCTTGACAAACTGAACAAAAAGATCCGCTAACAATGCAACGTAAACCCATGACTGTTCACTTCAATTCACTGATACTGCCCGGCGATTATACCTGGAATTCATTGGCACCCTCCAGCCATTTCATTTACCCACCAAGTTACATTCACTTCAACTAGGTACTTGAGCGAGCGAGGATAAGTGGCCGAATCGAACTCCCAAAGATGACATCTCCAGCCCCAACCCCAACCCGCTACTTCGGCTTCGGCAGTAATCTCTGGAAGCAACAGATGTCCCTCCGGTGCCCAACCTCCCCCTTCACCGGGATCGGACGCCTGTGTGGCTACAAATGGTTTATCAACGGCCGAGGGTACGCAAACATCGCCCCGATAACCACCGCCAGCCCTGATTCGGAAGACGAAGTCTGGGGCCTAGTCTACGACCTCTCCCCAGCCGACGAGGCGCGGCTAGACATCAATGAAGGGGTGCCCTTCGCCTACGAGAAACGCCACATCCCCGTCGAGTTTTGGCCTGTCGCAGTCGCCTCCCTGTCCCAGCTTGAACAACAGGACGGCACCGGCGCGGATGGGATACCGGAGAAAGGCAAGGGGCAAGTAGTGGACATGCTTGTATACATCGATTTCAAGCGCAGCCAGCCGGGCCACCGGCCACGCGCCGAGTACGTGCACCGCATGAACATGGGCATCCGGGACGCGCTGCGGGAGGGGGTACCGCAGGCGTATGTGGAGAGGGTGCTGCGGCCGTACATACCGGCCGACGCGGAGCTTGATGCGGAAGCGGTTGACCTAGCAAAGAGGCAGGCGGCTGGGTTTCGAGACGACAGCGGTGTTATTCCGGGCATTGGGCTCCCGCCTGCGGGCGTGGCAGGGTCCGGGGTTGTTTCCAGTTTAGAGATGGGAGCGGAGGAAGATGAGGCCGAGGAATTGGCTGAACGAGCGAGCGAGGTTTGCTATTTGAAGGACTTTGGGGTCTAGGTAAGCTTGGGCGAGGCTTGGTGATGGAATTCTCTCGAGATGTTCTTTGTTAGAGATTACCCGATGTGTTCACTTTGGCCGGCCTGAACGAGGAGGTGATATTGCGCTAAGTTCACATTCTGGCCCGCAGAGATGTTGTGAGAACGCTCTTGGTGTGGGCAATGGCTCGATTACAGATATGCCGGATACGTCAAAGCACGCGAATGGTCGTGTCAGCATCGAATTTTAGAGTGGTGCGCTAAGTCAAAGCTGCGGGCAAAGACAGGGTGATAGAGTATTGGGGGGTTCATTAATTGGGGCTCCTTGGGCAACCAGTCTGCCTCCAGAATAAGTCGATTATCACATGACAGAGTCGGCCATGGTTTGGATGTCGGCCGCACCACTTCTCCCATAATGCGAGGGAGATAGCCATTCACGGCTTGCAGATAGACGGAGGCTGGCATTGATGTCAATGCAGTCGAAGGAGTACGCTTGAGAATAGGTGGCCAGTATCCCCTTTCGGATGAACCCAAGGTATTTCAGATTCAAGTCGGCAGGACAGATGAAGGCAGAGGAGAGCTAAGGCCCCGAGCAAGACCGACTGGGGCAGGAACGGCAGTCCCCTAACACGGGATCGATCGACTTGATGTCGAGTGACGCTCGCGAGTCGCCAAGGCGAGATGAGGCAGTACGGCAATGTGGAGGTTGGCGGTACAAGGTGTCATGTAGAGAGTAAGTCCCACCTGAAGCGTACCAGCGATCGCAATGGCATGGCGCAGGCTACTCGGGGTGAAAGGAACAGAGATTGGCAGCTGGCCCAAGCCCACGAGACGAATGTCTTCAGCGCAGGTGACGGTTGGAGATAGAAGCAAAGAGAAACTCGAGGATCGGCAGATGACAGACGGTCGTGATGGCGCTTCTTTGATCCGTTTTGGCATTGGGGTTCTTGGAAGAGGGCGTGAGGCTGCGAGTGAGTCCTCAAAGTTAACCGGCAAAGCATCATCATCTTGACCACGATACCCAGTTGCTGCTGGGTTGCGCAGCGAGGATTGCAATTTTGAACGGCACGTTGGTCGAAGCCTGGACCGATCTAAGGCCGACGGAGAGCCACCGCAGAGTTGTCGGATCGTCATCTGTGAAATACTCGCGTATCATGGAGGTGACGTGCCAATGGAGTGCGTGAGCCTCGCCGTGAAGAAGATTGAAAACGATTCTAGACCACTGGCAGCACACATGGAGACAACGCGCCAAGCAACGGCACTTGCCGTGTGCCAAAGCTTGGCAGAACCAGGGGTAAATGATAATCGCGTCGCGTCGCCCCGTCATCGACGAACCTCATGTCTGCATTCCAGTGTCTCTGAGGCGACAACAAAGGGTTGGGCCAGTTTGGGATGAACTTAACTTGGAACGTCTTCCTGTCTGGGCAAATATGTAGTCAAGACTTCCACGGCAACGTGGCCCCCAGCTCACTGCTGGATCCTCCAATGAAGATGTTGAAGGGACCAGGTGTTGATGCTGATTATTATTGAAAAGCCGGCTGACCATCTGGAATTCCATCCGATTCAACGTGCTCGTTGGGGCAGCTATAGAAGGAGTGGCGCTTCTTATAGCCTCAAGCTTTCCCCGGACAAGCACGCGAACTCAGAGCCACACCGTATCTTGAAGGCAGCAAACACCGGGGACTGTGCGAGGCTTCTGTGGAATTCAGGGTCATAACTCAGCGGTTTGTTTGGTTTCACTGCCAGCATCTCTTTGCACAACATGGAACTCTCAAGGTGTACAAGGGCATTGTCCCAGGCTCTGTACACAGAGTTCATCGAACAAGGGACGGGAGACCTAAGAGGACCGCTTTGAAGTGGATGGCTCAGGAAGTTGCAATCCAACAGTGTCACTTCCATCCGGTCTCTCAATGGTGCCGCAGGTAAGACATTGACGCGGCCACAATGTTCTTGAAAGTGGAGGAAAAGATGACTGGGAATGCGACTTGCCCACAATTCATTGTTCAGTGATGAGCGAAACCTTTTCATGCCTGCATGAGTTTTGAAGCTGGCCCTGAACGATTCAACCGCGACTGCCCGATCTTCTCCAGCTGCACAATCGGCACTGCAGCTTGCAACACGGGTAGCTGCAAACCCTGCGGCTTACAGCCTTCAAGTTTTCTTGGTCAGATACCACGTTTATTTCGGGTACCATCGTCGACAGTCACGAACTGGAAACCAAGTATTTGAGGGAGCACATATTGCCTTCATGACCTCGCTTTCCTATCGCTACTGTGGCTCTCATCGTTTGCTAGGTTCGATGCAACCTTTGATGCCGACCGTTTACCTCCAGCAATCCGTCTACCGATTCTGACCGACGTAAGGTACTTAGACAGCAATAGACAGCAAAGTTTGCTTGCTGCTGCAACGCCCGCACCGCAGACAGGCGAGAGACTATATTCCGAGACTGGCAACCCACAGCGAGGACGGCCCTCGCTTCCTCAATGGTGAGGTGTTTCAACATGCCAACACCCACCGACCCGCAGGGCCCGCCGATGGCCCAGTTGTCGACCTCTCCACCTCCCGGGGAGCCTCTGAAATCGTTCGGCCAAGACTATCAGTACGCAGAGACCTTGCAGAACCCTTATCCCGAGGTTGTCTTTTCCGGCGCAGTGAATTCGGTCCATGAAACCGCCTCAACCTCACCCGCGACTGTGGGCGGAGCCGAGGGGACCCAGGAGGCGAGCAGCGCCGGTCACGATGGACTCTCGTCCCACCGTCCCGATACAGTCGGTAGTAAGGATTCCGCCATGCACGAGGACGTCTGGGTAGAGCCCCGGGACGCGCCGTGGTACAAGGCCATTTCGCCCAAGAAATGGGCAACCATCATCATCTGCACCGTGGGAATCACCGGCGTCGTCCTGGCCATCCTCGGCGCTATGAACAAACTTACCCCATCAAGGTCTGACCCCACCGCCGCACCGAGCCCAGACGCTCAGCAAGATAGCCGCTGACCGCTGACTTGAGCAGTAGCTCCTCTGACCAGTCGGCTCCCACCGACAACAACAGCACATCAACCGCGACGACGTCCAGCTCAGCAACCACTTCCTCGTCCAGTTCCTTACCGACAGTAGGTCTCCTGCCTTCCTTCCCCCAGCCCCTTAAAGTACCCCCCTCGCATTCCACACATACAACTAACGCACCCCCTACCGCCAGGGAACCAGCACACCCAAACTAGACTGTCACGACCAGTCAACCTTCCTGACCGCCGTGACCTGGATTGGCACCGAAGTAGGCGCCTACAAGGGCGAGTTCGCGCAGGCGTCCTCGCCGGAATCGTGCTGCGACTCGTGCCGGACGCACTCCGGGGGCGGCTGCGCGGGCTGGGTGTACAACTCGAGCTCAACCTTCACGCCATGCACCAAGATCGTCGTCACGGCCGACAAGGAGGGCAAGGACGACACTTGCCCAAAGGGGTATGCCCCGACGACCTTCTTTGCGAGAGACTCGGGCGGGAAGGAGGGCGGTGTTGCTGGGATGGGACCGTGCGGAAAGACGATGGACGTCCAGGGGTAGAAGGGTGATCATTTGGTGGAGAGAGATGTGTTGTAGTGGACGGCTGTCCTTTCGGTTCGGGTATGCCAACAGCACGGGTCTTTTCTTTGGCATGGCGGCGACAGCATTGCGGATCTTCCTTTAGGGGAAGGCGTATGGAACCATGCGAGACACACACCTCAAGACCGGGCATTCTGACCATGACATCTTCGGTATATACAGTTGTAGCTCGAGTTGAACCCTCATTCATCGATGCTGCTGGGTGAGGCGGTTTCATGAACTAAAGGCAAGGCTTATAAACGGAACGTACAAGTACAATGATCCCCAACAGCCTGTCTATTAAACCATTACCAACCTGCTCCAGCTAAATCCTGCCCATGATGTCCGTTGCAGGCCTAAAAAGAGGGAAGAAATGAGGCAGCAAGGGGCAGCAACCCCTGTCACGTCAACTGTTTAGCTTTCCTGTTTCCATGCTTGCTGAAATAACTTCACTCCTCTCACAACCTAAATCGCGCCCCCTCAATGCAAAAGCTAATGTACCAACTAGAGACGGAGCAGCTTGGCAGCGAACTGCTCAATGAGCGGCTCAGTGGGGAAGCTCATTTCTTCCAGCTTCTGGGCGTAGGGGGTCGGGACATCGGCGCCCGTGACACGCTGGGCGGGGGCATCGAGGTAGTCGAAGGCGTATTCCATGGTAAGAGCGAGGATCTCGGAGCCGACGCCAAACGCGGGGAAGCCCGACTCGACGGCCAACAGGCGGTGCGTCTTCTTGACCGACTTGACAATGGCCTCTACGTCGAGCGGCTTGATGCTGCGCAGGTTGATGACCTCAACTTCGACGCCGTACTTCTTCTTGAGGTTCTCGGCGGCGACCAGTGACTGACCGACGCACCGTGAGAGAGTGACGATGGTTAGGTCCTTGCCGGGGCGCTCGATCTTGGCCTTGCCGATGGGCAAAACGAAGTCGTCCTTTTGCGCCGCCTCGGACATGGGGAATGACTGGCCGTACAAGAGCTCGTTCTCGAGCACGACGACCGGGTTGGGGTCACGGATGGCAGCTTTCAGCAGACCCTTGGCGTCCTCGGCCGACCAGGGCGAGACGACCTTGAGACCGGGGACGCTGCCGTACCAAGCCGAGTAGTCTTGCGAGTGCTGAGCGGCGACACCGGCGGCGAAGCCGTTGGGGCCGCGGAAGGTGATGTTGCAGGGCTGGATGCCGCCGGACATGTAGAGGGTCTTGGCGGCCGAGTTGACGATCTGGTCGATGGCCTGCATGGCGAAGTTGAAGGTCATGAACTCGCACTAATGGACAATCGCGCTAGCGTCAGCCGCACTGTTCCTTCAACCTTTTCTCGAAAGTGTCGGTCGTATGCATCACTCGCGCCGCACTTACCACAGGGTGCAGGCCGCTCAGCGCGGCGCCGACGGCAAGGCCAGTGAAGCCCATCTCGGTGATGGGTGTGTCGACAACCCGCTTCTCGCCGAAGCGGTCCAGCAAGCCCTTGGTAACCTTGTATGCACCGTTGTACTGGGCAACCTCCTCACCCATGATGAACACCTTGGGGTTGCTCTCGAGTTCCTCGGCGAGCGCTTCGTTCAAGGCATCGCGGACCGTGTACTCCTTGACGCCGGAGGCATCGGCATATGTCCGTTTTTGTATGCTGGGCACAGCAGCGGCTCTGGTAAGGAAAGGGGAAGGCGCGGCAGGGCGAATGGCAGAGGCGCGCGCGGTGGCAGCCAGCCTCGCCGCTGGTCGGAGGTAGCGCGACATGGTCGAGAGATTATGTGGGAGAAAGGAGAAGAAAGGGAGAACGGATACCCGGTGCGATACGGCCGGGAGGGAATAAACACTCAATTGAGATGCCCTTTCGTATGACGGAATGAGGCAAGCGATATCGCCGGCAGACGGAGGAGAAGATGGTCGGAGCGTGGGAGGGTCGACAGTGCCAGAGGGAATTTTTCTTTTGCAGCAATCGACAAGCTGGACGAACATCCGGACTTTGACGTTGAACCCCAACGAATAAATCCGCGCTAGGACAATAATGACTTAGCGGGCTGGGACCTTGCACGGTCGTTCGGGTGCTTGGCCGCCGAACTTTGACCCTAACAGCGCTCGGTGCTCTCCACTGCGCGAAATCGGTGGGTCCAAGTTAGAGAGAGAACGGGCGCGTCGTCTCGGAATGAAAGCGGCTCAAGTCCAAGTTTACATGATAAGGTGCCTGTGCCTTACCTTGTTCCGCGAAGATCAGGGAGGGCGCCCGTATCGCTGGGAGATCCTGAGACATATAGCGTGTACGACATGAACGTCCGAGACCAAACCAACGGCAACAGAAGCCATTGTAGTCGCAGGAAACGGAATAGCGGGGAGAAGGGCGAGGCATTAAGATCTATTACGGTATATATACATGAGTCCTAGGCTAGACGTTCTAGCTTGTCACCAGAAGTTATTGCCGGTCCGGAGGTATTAATATGGATTACACCGCTTAAGTGCGTTCTCCTGCACATGCCCATTCACATTACCGTACAGTACTTTTGTCATCCCATCACGTCGTGTCCGGCCAGACCTACCGGGCCTCATTAGTTTGCGGGCTTGCGGCCAACCATCAGGTACATCGGGGTGAACAGGTCTTTCTTGGCGCCGGCGACCAGGCCATCAGCACCCTTGGCGAGCGAGTCGGCCGTCTTCTTGGTGCCCTTGGGCGCAAGGCCAACGGTCTCGAGGAGGCCAGTAAATACGTGCACCGCCCTGCGGCCGGCGTGCGTCATGCGGAGGACGGTGAACAGGTCCCAATACGACTGCATGTACTTGGTCTCGCCGGCAATGCCCCAGTACCAGGGGATGGGGTCGGGCCGCTTTGCGAGGTCCTCGTGGTGCAGCAGCTCGAAACCAGCATCCTTCATGGCTTGGAGACCTTCGGAGATGGTCACCATGTTTGAGATACCGTTACCCTCCTCAATGGCGAGACGGATGTCACGGTGCTCAAGGTTGTTGTTGTCGTAGTTGTCCGTCATCAACCATTCGTACACGCCGAACACACCGCCGGGCTTCAATACGCGGTAAATTTCGCTGTACACGCCTACGAGCTTGGGCGCGTGGACCGTAGCCTCGATGGCATACACGGCGTCGAACGACTCGTCGGGGAATGACATTTGCTGCGCAGGTTAGCACGCCGTTGAGGGTGAGTCCTGTCTTTTTGATTCTATCGTACCATGAAATCGCCCTTCACAAACTTGAGCTGGTTCGAGAGACCCTCTTTTGCAGCATACCGTGTGGCACGCTCGATCTGGTAATCGTTGTTGTTGAGGCCGGTGATATGCGCGTCGGTAAACTTGGCAATCTCCCTGGCGGGGCCACCAACACCGCAACCGACATCCAGAACCTTCATGCCGGCTTGGATGCCGATCTTCATGGCGAGGTAGTGCTCATGGCGCGCAATTGCCTGGTAGAAGGGTTCGCCGATTGAGTACCGGCAGAAATGAAAGCTCTGGCCCCAGCCATACTCGTATAGATCCGTCGCGAGGTTGTAGTAACTGTGCAAAGGCTGGGTCAGCACCAGACCGACGCTGGGTCGAAGCATGGTTCGGGCGAACTTACTGCCTTGTAAGGGTGGCATACTCCTTTGTCCGCATCTAGTGCTGTCAGTCAACATGGGCTGCTGCTAATCGCGTCAGCCAGCTCTGTGAGCGCACCTCTCTGTCGGCGGCTGTCTCTGTCTCTGCCCGCTTGTTGTCGAAGTGCTTGAAGTATTCGTCCACAGCAAGCTTTTGGGCCTCCTTGTTCTTGGCGAGAATCGCAGAGAAGCCACCAGTGGCCTCAGTCGATTTGCCGTGGAGCGCCTTCATGAAGGCCGCGTCGCGCGCGTGGTCCTCCTTTTCGAGGGCCAGGTTGTCGGAGGGAGCCATGTCTGCACTGCTGGAGTTTTTCAAGCGACCAGTGGTTTCTGAGTACGAAGCCGAGAATGCAGATGGACCCGAGCAAGAATGGAATGTATGTTGACTTCTCCTTTCGGTTGGAGAGCTCCCGGTGAAGAAAAGTTTCAGGGACCCCTATTTATTATTATGGGCAACATCCACTGGCCGAGCTACGGCAAATCGACAGGGGCATCCAATCTCTTGGATCAATGGATTTTGCCCCACAGGCACATGCAAGTGAAGCGACAGGAACAGCTGGACTGGGGCCAAAGTCAAGAAAGCACTGGACTCCGTGGTGTCAAGGCCTCGGCCCTGGCATGCGAACAAGAACACGGATTCGGGCTTGGCGTCTACCTGGTAATGCTGAGCTTGGATGCTTCATCGGCGGCTCCGTTTTCCAGTTATAGTGATACATTTGATAACTATCGACTGCCGGCGTTAACATCCCGCTCTCGCTAACATTGCGCCTGAGAAAACTAGAATGGGAAGGCGGTGAGGAAAAGAAACTCGAATACGAATAAGAAGCTCGGGTCATGGGCATCAAGCCACATCTCGTTGAGACTTGGCGGTGGCGGCCGATAAGCTTATCAGTTCAGCCACACCATCCTTCACTTCGTCAACGCAGCAATTCATCACCCCACGACCACTTCATCAGTGTTCGTCAACAAACCTTCGTATTCGAAATTCACCTACAACGCGACACTCACGATGCCGCCCCAAATCAAGCAAGACCTGAACCGCTCCGGGTGGGAAACCACCGACTTCCCGTCCGTGTGCGAGCAGTGCCTGCCCGAGAACCCCTACGTCAAGATGCTCAAGGAGGACTACGGCGCCGAGTGCAAGCTGTGCACGCGGCCCTTCACTGTCTTCAGCTGGTCCGGCGACGGGCGCGCGCACGGGCGCAAGGCCCGCACCAATATCTGCCTCACGTGCGCCCGTCTCAAGAACGCCTGCCAGTGCTGCATCCGCGACCTGAAGTACGGCCTCAACATCATCATGCGCGACGTCGCGCTCAACATGGCCTCGGCCGGCCCGCAGAGCGAGATCAACCGGGAGTACTTTGCGCAGAACAACGAGCGCGCGATCGAGGAGGGCCGGGTGGGCGTGGAGGAGCACGAGAAGGCGGATGAGAAGGGGCGCGAGCTGTTGAGGCGGCTAGCGCAGAGCAAGCCGTACTTCAGGAAGGGGAGGGAGGTAGATGAGGAGGGAAATGTCGTCGCCGGCGGAAGCGGGAGTGCTTCGGGTGGGAATGTCGCGGTGGGTGCTGGGTTGGGCGGTGCGGGGCCGATACGGACGAGGGATTTGAGGGCGGCGGCGGCGGTGGGCGCGAAGGCTGGCCTCAGGAAAAGACCGCTCATCGCAAATGCTCCTCCACCAGGGCCGAAAGATTGGATACCGCCCAACGACCGGAATATCATGTCGCTCTTTGTTACAGGCATCGAGGACGACCTGCCCGAGTACAAGATCCGCGACTTCTTCAAGGTATTCGGCAAGATCAAGTCCCTGGTCGTATCGCACATGACGCATTGCGCGTTTGTCAACTTTGAGACACGCGAAGGCGCGGAGAAGGCTGCTGCAGAGTGCAAGGGGCGGGCGGTGATCGCGGGTTGCCCGCTGCGGATCCGTTGGAGCGTGCCCAAGGCGATTGGCACCATGAACAAGGAAGAGCGTGCCCAGATGTTACACGACGGTCGATCAGCTTTCCCCCAAGCGAACCGGCGCGGCACGCAAAATGCAATCGGGGGCAGGGCTGCTCAAGGAGGCAACTCAACGGCTGCCCAAGAGGACGACCTCTCTGGGCTTGTTGTGGCTGCGCCGCCCGGGGAATCCGACGTACAATACGCAAGCTTGTCTGGCAACTAAAAGAATTAGGCTATGGTTCTGTCTCCGTCTCAGGCACGGCGTTGGGGTTTAACTGGGGCTGGGTTACGGTTTAGGCGCAGGATATCTCCGCTGCATTGCTGTTGGGCATTATGTTCTGTTGTCACATGGAGGGTATCATAGACGGGCTTATATTACACGGCAGAATACTGCCATATGCCTTCTTTCACGAGTCTTGCTTGTCGTCCGTCCAATCGACAGCATCTATTCCGGTTCCAACGGCCTCCCGCTATCTTTCCGAGCAGCATTTCACCCCGTCCTCTTTAATGTTCTTGTTTCCCAATTTAATGCTATTGTTGTCCCCGCGCTCGGTGTGCTTGTGAATGCGGAGTTCTAGAGAAAACGCCGTCAGCAACAAGTCTGGATGTGGCAAGCCCAGCACCAGAGAACCACCCACTATATGTGTTGTCCTCCTGCGAATCCCGCCTCCCCTGAACAAGGTTGGTCTTGAGGAAACTTGCCACCTCCTCGGCATGCTGGATGGCCGGCCGAACCGACGGATCCGAGGCCGGCAAGGACGCCTTGTCCCGGAAGCCTTGTCGTATCTGTTGCCTCGCAGCGTCGAGCGTTCTAGTGTCCCCTGATGCACACCGTTAGCGGCGCATGTCAAACAACGTCAGTCGTGGGTGTATGTGCCTTCAAAAGCAATCCGAGCCGCGCGCAGCAAGTGCCTGTATGCTTGTAATGCTGCCATCGATGTTTTTGTTTATGCCTGTTGAAAGGCCCAATAATTTACGCCACTTTTGGAAAACAGAACAAACAGAGAACTGAAGTGTCAACAGGGAGAAGATGCCCACCACAAGGCTACAAGTTGAAAGTTGATGCAGCAAGGCAAAGAGCAAGGGGGGCCGGCACAGAACTACTGCTTGATTGGTTCGAGACTTTCAGTGGAGCCGACTGCAAAAGCAAAAAAAACAATTTCGCAGACGAACTTGGAACCACCCACCAGCTACCCCTCCATCATCCTCAATCGCACATTCTGCGACCGCAACCACAGCATCATGGAGGCTAGCGTCCTACCCTTCACCCTGCCCTCCCTGCCCGAGGGCTGGGAGGCTGAGAACAGCTTCAAGGCCATTGGCAAGACCACTCAAGGCGGCACGACGCAGCGAACTTTGGAACCCGTCGGCCCTTACTTCCTCGCCCACGCCCGCCGTGCGCGCCACAAGCGCACTTTCTCCGAGGACGATCGTATACAGGCCCAAGAGCGCGCTAAGAAGGTTGAGGACAACGATGACAGCGAGATTAGCGAGCCCGAGGACCCCATGATGCTGCAGCGCGACGCCAAGGATTGGAAGACGCAGGACCATTACAAGGTGCTCGGCCTGTCCAGGTACCGCTGGAAGGCCACCGAGGAGCAGATCAAGCGTGCCCATCGCAAGAAGGTGCTGAAGCACCACCCCGACAAGAAGGCCGCCGCCGGCCGCGCCGACGACGACAACTTTTTCAAGTGCATTCAGAAAGCCACCGAGGTGCTGCTCGACCCGGTCAAGCGCCGCCAGTTCGACTCGGTCGACGAGGAGGCCGACGTCGAGCCGCCGACCAAGAAGCAGCTGGCCAAGGGTAACTATTACAAGCTCTGGGCCCACGTCTTCAAGTCCGAGGCCCGCTTCAGCAAGGTGCACCCGGTTCCGTCGTTTGGCGACGAGAACTCGACCAAGGAGGAGGTTGAGAACTTTTACAACTTCTGGTACAATTTCGACAGTTGGCGCTCGTTCGAGTACTTGGACGAGGATGTGCCCGACGACAACGAGAACCGCGACCAGAAGCGGCACATGGAGCGGAAAAATGCCAACGCGCGCAAGAAGAAGAAGGCTGAGGACAACGCACGCTTGCGCAAGCTGCTCGATGACTGCTCCGCCGGCGATGAGCGCATCAAGCGCTTCCGCCAGGAGGCCAACGCCGCCAAGAACAAGAAGCGTCTCGAGCGCGAAGCCGCCGAGAAGAAGGCCGCTGAGGAGGCCCGCCTGAAGAAAGAAGCGGAGGAGAAGGCCGCCAAGGAGGCCGAGGAGAAGGCCAAGGCTGAGCGCGAGGCAAGCAAGAAGGCAAAGGAGGCGGCTAAGAATGCTGTCAAGAAGAACAAGCGCGTGCTGCGCGGCTCGGTCAAGGACGCCAACTACTTTGTCGAGGGCGATGCGTCTGCAGCGACCATCGACGCCGTTTTGGGCGACGTTGAGCTCATCCAGGGCAAGATCGATGCCGACGAGCTGGCTGCTTTGGCTGGCAAACTCAACGGCCTGACAGTGCCCGACAAGATCAAGGGCGTCTGGAAATCTGAGGTGGAGAGGCTTGTTGCTGCCGGGAAGCTCAAGGAGGGCGAGGCCAAGACGCTTGGTGCTTGAGGAACGTTTTGGGTGCATTAGATCTACGGTTGTCATGATTACGACTTGAGTCTAATAGATGGCGTTTTAGAGTGGGTATCTTACCTGTTTTTTCCGTGATTCCTCATGAATCAGTCCCCGAGGCGTTACCTGCTTCGCGGATACCCCTGCTCCAGAAATTTGGAGGCCAGAGGGACGGTTCCTTCTCGCCATGTCCATCACCTCAGTCCTTCCTCTCTGGTTGACCAGGCGGTAATGAAGCAACAAGCTGCCTGCAGACCAAGGCAGGGAAAAGCGAGAGACCGATGAATCATGCTCGACTTGACCGTTCGTTTCCCATGAACTCTCTGTTCCCGCTCTGTCCGGCCTTACCCTCGATCAATACATCATTCTCTTTGTTTTCACGCTGCACAAAGTAATATTTCCTCAATGCTCGCAACCACAGAGAAGGCGCCCAGTCATCTCGAAACCTTACAACCCGGCACAAAACGTCCACGTCGCGTCGCAACCCCACGTCCACCATGGCCCAACAACCACAGCAGCCCGCCAATGAAGCACAATTCCATGGCTTGCCCATCCTCCTGGACCCTGAGCTACATCAGCCCGATAATCCACCACAAGACCAACATGCCTTGCCCAACGCCCCGGATCTCCGGATCCGCTTGGCCACGGAGCAAGACCTAGCGCGGCTGAAGGAGGTCACGATGCAAGCAGTGACTCCAGGCGACAGCACACTGAGAGGGAAGGAGCTCGCCGCCAACACAGAAACATACCGGGCCGGTTACCAAAGGCGAGTGCACGCCTGTGTCAAGAACAATCACCTGACATGCATCGTCGTTGGGACGGTAGATTGGCCCAAGATGATATTTGGTTACTGTCTTTGCTTTGGGTTGAGCACATAGTTGATGAGGATGGTGAAGAGGTGACTCAGACGGGCCTATTTCCTCGTGTGATACAGATTCGGGATAGGCAGTTTTCAGGTAAGCGCATCCTCTCTTGTCTTCCTTTCTTTTTTCCAGTCTTTCACTTCCTTTTCTGTTTCCCATGTTGTCTCATTGTTGTCTCATGCTTGTAGTTCTCATTTTTGCTTCTTTTGGTTTCGTTCCCTCAGTATCTATTCTGTTCTGAGAGACTGCCTAGCATACATGTCCCCGACCGCAGGTGGGAATCGTCCCAACCAGAGTGTGCCTAATAGGAATGAGGCCAACCGGCAGGATGGAAGCGCGTTCTAGCGCGATACGACTTTCTCGGCATACTGGTTAGTGCGGGACTTATTTGCAGACCCGGTGTTTGGGGTCTCTTCCACCCTGGACATGTTGCTGTGGTCCATTGCCGCATTGCAGATGAAGAGCAGATCTTACTCTGTATGTCTGCCTCACCGGACACAAACACGGGCATGTTGTTAGATCTGGGGTTCCAGACTTGTGGATCGTCCAGGATTGGCGGGGTTACCGTGGTACTGCTGCGCAGGTTTCCATCCGGAGAGAACAATGCGGGCGAAGGAGAAGTAGGGGGCGAGAGGGAGTAGGATGTGTGATACCTGGTGTGATGACCTGACAAGTGGGGGAAGAACCTGAGCAGCAGGCTCTAATTAGCGAAAAGTGCAACATAGTCGGAGCATCAGGCTCTTCTGAGAAGCAATAGATTTAAGATTGTTGTCTTAGAATCTCGGACTCATGACGCCTTGGTGAGAAACATGAGAGAAGGTGAATAGGGTTACACATGAAGGGAGGAGAAGAAAGTAAGGATACCTTGGAAATCGAGAAAACCAGAAAAGAAAGCAAGATCAAGTCCCTAGTTACCCTTTATCGGAGAACCTGGCGTCCTGTCCTCCATCTCCATTTGCTCAGCAAGATGCTGCCAAACAAGCTTCATTAAGATTGAATCATGTGCTTACCCTGATTACAGGCATGTCACTCGCTGTTATGCAGGCAGGGCCGAAGCGCAGGAGTTCGGCAACGAGTACCAGTAGGGCTGGAAAGGAGAAGAGTCCACCAGCGCTCACAAATCAGGATTGATGAACTTGAGTTGACTTGTGAGGCAGAATTAGGAACCAGCGCACTTGTACCTGTAGAGAAGCACAGAGGCCAGAGCAATGCTCTTTCATTAGCCGTTCAACGTCTCCGCTCCCTCAGAACCTTGGATCCCTCTCACTCATAGACGTAACAAAACGGCCCATCGACCACACTGACTAAATCCCGGATCTTGTACACCTTGTCCGCCACGACGCCCAAATCCACCAGATCATCCAGGCTCTGCTGCCTCCCACCAAAGCCCATCATGCTCGTGCCGCCCGCAATGACCTGCAGCCGGTTCGCCAAGTCCTGACTCTGCCAGATGGTCCAGGTGCGGTCAATCATGGCGTGGTGGACCCAGAAGGCGGGATCGTTGGGCGACGTGTAAAAGTCGCCGCCCGGGTCGCCGGCAATGGTGAAGTGGCCGGCGGCGTGCACGCCCATGGCTCCGCCGATGCCGAAGCCGAAGCCGCCGGCGGCCTGCATCGTGTCCTGGAAGGTGCTGATGGTCGTGGACGAGGTGATCAGGTTGACGATGTCCTCGGTGCGCGAGTACTTGTTTGATAGCTGATTGGAGATGTCGCGGCGCAGGCAGCGCGGGTTGTCGCCGTATCCGTCGCTGCGCGGGTTGCGTGGCGGGGCCGGGTCAACTGCCGGGGAGACGGGGCCGAGGTGGACGACCATGCTGTGAGAGATGCCGGGGTTAGGGACTGGCGGACTGGAAAGGCAGTGATATAAAGGGAGGGCCTGGATGACGAATGATAGGATATGCGGGAAAGAGAAAGTGACACAAACTCCTTGAAGGGGCCGGTCTTGACGCAGCCGCCACCGTTGCCGGCGGGTGCGACGCCTGAAGCGCGGTGCTGAATCTTCTCGCCGTTACCGCTGAGCGACGTGTCGCTGCCGTCGAAGATGGGCGACCTCTCGGGGTCCTGTGCCCAGCGTCCCCAGTCCCAGTACTCGATGCTGTTAGCTGGACAACTGCCCAGATGTGAGGGGGTGCAGTTGCTTACCGGCTGAGTCCCGGTATAGCCGCATTCTTGCTGGAGAGTGCGCTCAAACGCCCAGGTGTAGTAGCGATGCCACGTGAGAAAGCTTCCCTGGGAGGAGTCAGTTTCAGATCACTCGACGAAGACAGTGGATGGCAGAGTGGCCCACCGTGTTGTGGATGCTCATGGTCTGGTTCATGTGGACGACGACAAAGTCATCGTACCTCGACTTGGCTCCGGGGAACTTGGCCGGGTCCAGCCTGGACGGTTTCTGCATGATGCACAGCATGGCGGCGATGTAGGCCTTTTTCTCGGTGGCCGAGATGTCGCCCCTGTGATGCTGTCAGCTGGGGCTCTAATTACCATGGAGACAACACCATGTTTCATAGCTCACCATTCCCGGCGAACTTTCAGCTTGTCCTTGGTGCATGTGGCTGACTTGGCGAGCTGGGCGTCGATGCTCGGCCTGCCTTTCTTCTGCAGGTCCAGCACTGCGTCTCCAGACACCATGCCGGCCAGCAGGAGCCATGGAACTGCGAGCAGCCCAACGAGGGTGAGGCGAGCCATGGTGGCTTGGCTTGCAACAGACCTGCTTGACAAGGAAATCGAGCACCGTTCGGAGGCGGAAGCTCTCCCATTTTATCCTTGCTCTTCCACCATACCTTTCCAGATTCCTCCGCTACTCCGTCCGCTACTCCACGGCATCAACTGGTCTCCGGGGATCAGCTCCCTGCTCGGGATGTTCCTTCGGCAAATTGAATCTGTTGGCCTATATTGAATCCCTGATGTGAGCGTCTGGCTGGGGAAACGGGGCCTGTAAACAATATCCTGGTTACTGAAGCCAGTGTAACACTCAAATGACGCCCATTCGGATCTCGGCAGATGACGGCGAGCCTCATAGGCTTTGCTGCTGTGTAATGGATGGCTGCCGAAAATGCGTCTAAGAGAAACAGGCTCGGCAGCCACCCGAATATCGGCCTTCATGTTAGCAGGGTCTAAAAATACCGTGGTCTGGCCGGCACAAGAAGCGGTGCGTCCCGACTCCAGGGCGGAGATTCATCGTGGAATAACGGTGAAACAACCACAGCCGGGGCCAGTCGGAGGCGACGGAGAGTAAGCTTGAGTATCCAGTTCACCGGGAGACGAGAGCGTTCGCAATGCTGCCGACTGGTCCGGTAGAATTGGACTCCAATCTATGCGTCAGCTGGCAAATCTGGGGTAAAATATCCATATTTCTTGGGTAAAGATTGCACCGTGAACCCAGTCAGCTGTCAATATGTTTCCGTGTGCTTGATTTAAATGTGCATCGTTGGCTGCATCCTCGGCTGCCGGCAGCGCCGTTGCGCGCAGAAACACGACTGTTTTGGAGGCGAAGAAATTTGGCTGTGCTGACCTTACTGGGCGCGGAGCCGTGTCTACCTTAAATCATGGCATCGGCTGCAGAACACCGAACTGTGGCCGGGTCGAGCCAAATCATTAATGGATCAACGTCCCATAGGGCACCACCTCTTTCATGTTCTATGGGCTTCGGTAATGAATGCTTCGCGTGGTCCTGTTGGCTATATGTCCGTTGTTGTCTTCTGGCTCATGTGGTTTCAATGGCTGTAGCCTGAAGTGGGCAGCAATCCTACCTCTCTCTGTGGAAGAAAAGGAGTGCAGGCTTTTTACTCTCACTGTTTGATGTCCCTCTGATAAACCAGCAGTGGATTTAAAAGAAGGACACAGAAGCAACCTGGTTTAGCCTGAGTAACAGGCGTGGTTGCTGGGTGGGAATTAACGCCACAAAGGGGCAAAGGAGCGAAAAGGCCCGGGTCTGCCTGAGTTTGGTATGTAAGACGAACTGCAGAGTACAGGGGAATTCAAGGCATTGTACTGTACAATACAAACAGCATTCCATCCAAGGTTGCCGTGGCAATAACCCTTCAAGCCACCCACCACCAACCTCCCGCCTGTGCCATCCCTTGCCAGGTTATAATGTGTCCAGCAGCAGAAGAGTGGTTCGGATCATTTGCCGAACTTTGTCATATGAAACATGATGTGGCACTATCGTACTGTGGGACTGCATTCCCTGGTCTTCATTCCGCTTTCTGCTGAAGCAAGGCACACCAAGGGGTTTGGACCTTCTCCTGAGGTTTGCTAGGGGATGTATCTATACGTGGCAGATCGCGCTGTTGTTGTGATTTGTCTCTTAGATGCCGATAAATTGGAAGTGACCTGGTGAGTAGCATTATCCCTCAGCCTACGGTACCATAGGCACTAAATTCGTAACACTCTCAACAAGCATGGTGATATCTAGGTGCTGAAACAGTTGTATTTCGGACTTGACTCACCGGTGGTATCCATGTTTCACCGTGTGACGATAGTCTTGCATTAGCTCCTGAGACTCCGATACCAGGTTCTTGCTTCTGCCTGAGAAAATTGTCTGATCATGGACAAAGCGGAAAAGCAGACGGGAGCGAATCCACCGGGTTGTGCATGTGGTGGATTCAATATGGCCACGAGCAAAGCCAAACAAAAATAACAACTGAACGTAAATCATACACTTAAAGATGGATTGAGTCATATGGATGGAGTGTAGCAAAAACCATTGAAGTACTAGGTAGTGAAGAAGCATACCCAACAACGAAGGAGCGTAGAGTGAGTAGTTACCTTCAAATCGATTCTCCCAGTTTCCCTTAAAGACGATCATCATGGTCCATCTGCAACGTTAAAAGCACTTTACGGCAATGCTAATAGTGAACCAGCCAAGGTCAAGCTTCCTTCTGGACTCACAGTGATGATTGATCAAGCATTTCTGTCCTGTTGCTCAAGCCACCTAGTGAAGGACTCCAAGCCAGAGCTTGGACAGCCCTGATTCAAGAGTAACTCACTCTTCACATTCCCAGTACAAGATAGCAGATGTCGTGCTACGACTTCTGAAGTCATTTACGTGCAGAAAGCTGCACGAGAGATATTAATGACATCTGAATGCCATTTCCTGAAGTCATTCAATTTCACTTCAATGGCCCATTCGTTGGGAGTTTGATACTGCCATCAGCTGAGCCCATCCACATCCTCAGCGGCTCAAGCACCAATACCAGTTTTACCCCTTGAAAAGATAGGCTTGATCTTGGACACGAGTGCTACCGCGGCACTAGCCTACAGATTTGACCTTGACACCTCTTCAGCGGATCGTCTACCTTGGTTTGTTTCCTCGACTGGCTTCCGTAGCTGCCGGTCGAGGTCCTCCCCGGTCCAAGTCCTTGGTCAAAACCGGTCTCACACTCCCTATTGGGATCCATGAGCAGCATTTCTCGGGGGCCGGCCCTTGATGGTTTGGTGTCTCTTGCTTTTCCGAACTTCTGCACCAGCCGCAAGCGGATCCTGATCTTCCCCACGACAGCATCTTCCTCCGCATCAGAGCCTCCCTCCTCTCCTCCACTTCTCCTCCTTCACACCCTCCACTATTACCAGCTGCATTGCAAGGTTAGAATATCCTGTCATCAACCGCAATCATGCCGCGAGCAAAGTCCAAAGCCAAGGCGGTCGTCATGTACGGCCGCACTTACCATCCCGAGTTCCCGCCCTCTGAGCAAGACGATGTCGAGAAGATCACCAAGAGGTTCAAGACGATGACGAATAGCGAGGCTGCAGCCGTTGAGATTACGGAAGAGGAGCTGCGCAACTTTGCCAAAGTCTTCCCCCGGCTCTACCAGGTTGCCCCAAAAAATCAGGGGCGCCCCCAAGCCTGGAAGGAAGCACGCCAAGACGACATCCAGGGCTGGGAAGTCGGCGACTTTTTCAAAACCAAGCAGGACGACGAGAGAGACGGCACCATTCCCAGGAAGGCTGGTGCGCCCCCCGAAGCGGTCGAGCAGTTGAAGCGGCAGGGTGAGCTCGGGGCTGCTGCCCGCAAGCGATCCCCTGGACAGCAGCAGCAGGGGTGATGTGAGCTGTAATGACAGCCGCGAGGATAGCAGCGTTGGTGGGGCCTCCAAGGTACGTTGACTACCTTGGTCTTTCGTCGCATCTTCGGGCGCACAAATCCAGAGTCGATAAATCGTCGAGGCCTCAGAAACACCCACCTTCTTCCCTTCATCTCCTAAGACCGACTCCTCAGTTGTTGTACCGACATTCCTTTCAAACATCACCCATCTCACGCACAATTCGCCTGGCATCGGATAGCCATATTACAAAGAAAGAATGCCCTCCACCATTCTGACGAAATCCTACGATTTCACAATACCCCCAGGCAAAGCGCAACGAGTTGCCCGGTCTGTCCGCTGCACCCGCCGCCGAAGCTGAAGGTTTCGACATGGCGCCCCCTGCCAACAACGACGGCGGCCTGACCAAGGAGTTTCACGAGACCCTTGGCTCGGTTGTGACGGCTGCTTTCCGGCTGGGCCGGCTGTCGAACGGCGCGCCTGCCGACAAGCGCGACCGCTACAAGGAGATACTGTCTCGCCTGGTGAAGCAGCTCGGCACGGCAGCACACCAAGCGCTGCACGGCACTCAGTTGGTCAACCAGCAGAGTGGGTCGTCGTCGACTGAGGCCAATCCTTCTGCCCGCAACGCAAAGAAGCGCAGCCACAAGGAGTCGGACAATGAAGGGGAGCAAGGAGAGGTGGAAAAGGAGGAGGGATCTTTCAGGCCTAAGCGTGCCCAGCAGACGGCTCAGCGTCGCAAGTAGGAGCCAGGATCTGTCACTCGGGAATATGGCTTGCTTCATTCACGGTCTGGTGGGCGACACACGAGTTCGTTAGCGATGGATCAGATCAATAAACATTGCCTTGATTTGTGTGCACTCTGGTCGGTGAAACTTGAAAAGACCTAGTGAGATCAAGATCAGAACTGCGGCGACATCCAAGAAGGTGCAGAGACGGAACGGTCAAAACCCACCATGTCAAAATGCTTTCTCTCTTGGTATGACAATGGTATCATCAATGAGGCTGCGGTAGTGATGGGTGTTAATGTTATTTGCACCGAAGAAGAGGCTTCCAAAAAAATGTCTTCACATTTTGAAGGTTTCAGCGCCTTTCATAATTATGTACTTCTTGTCTTTCCCCACATCACTTGCAACAACGGCACTCCACAAAGCGCTTCAGCTTGCAGCGTCCAAGATAAACATCACAGATGCACTGCTGTCAAAGAAGTTACACGAACTGGATGGCTTTTCAATCTCAACTCTCGGCCGTGGCATCCCGTACTCCGCCAGTAATGTCAGACAAATGTGTGATGGGAAGGAATGTCGGTTCAACCCATGCAAGGAAAGGTACGAGATCCTATAAGGCGCCCCAACCCCTTTCCCGTCTCTTCTTCCTGTCTCGTTTCATCAGCAGCTTCAGAGAGTTCCAGGAACACGACTTTTCCGATCCACCACTTGTGGCTTGGGGTGCCTTAACTCTCGGTGCCAGAGGAGCTGAGACCGGCAAAGAAGGTGTGCAACGTAACCAATCCTTAACGATGGCCCGACATCTGCATTTGAATTCTAGTAGTAGTGAATGATAATGGGGAATTGTTATTGGATGCTTTCGGTTGCCCACTGCGCAGGATGGTGAAGCACCACGTCTCCATGTTGTCGCGGTACGCTCAAGGCCCTAACTCCTCGCCACCTGCAATCAAAGATCACCAAAAACGATAAAAAGGTAGCTAGTTTAAACCCATTACCACTAATATCATTATGTAGGTAGGCACCCCAACATTTGCTCCAGAGCAAGAGGCGCCTAGTTATTATTCTTATACACAGCTTACATAAAGGTTCTTATCCCCGGTCCCCTTCTCCCCATCTCTCATCCCCAGCGTACACGAGCTACTGCTCTCCGCAACTGCGCCTGGCTGAGAAAGCATTATGCCATTCCTACGATTACCAGCCCCGTCCCTCGGCTCAGGCGACGGCATTTTCTCCCTCTCCACCTGCTGCTGCTGCTCCGGCTCCTGCCGGTTGACACGGGTGCTGTGGTGGCTGGGATTGTTGCTACTACGACTGCTGGCATTTCGGGTTGAGCGGGTGGGGGCGAAGCGATTCTGCCGGTTGTCATTGTTGTTGCTCAGGCTCATTGCGGTAGCCGTTGTGGTGCTGGTGTCGCGCAGGTCGCTCTCTCGGCGGAGAGACTTGAAGAGGTGGCGCATCATGGGAATTGAGGCTGCCATGATGGTCAGGGCGGGTTCAATGAAGCCCCATATGACAAGCTGGAGGGAGTTATCTGATGCTTCGTTAGTCCTGGTTTGGCGAGGAAGGTTCGTGCTTGGCAATGGATGGGGCGAAGGGGCCGCGGTAGGAGGGAGAAGAGGGCGACTTACAGCTAAAGTCGCTGTCGTAAAGAACGTGGATGAAGGTCATTTTTACGATACAAATAATGCCGGCACTGGGTACGCGTTGTCAGTCGCGTTGACGAGAAGAAGGAGGGGTTGCTGCTGTCCATACAAAACACCCATGCTCATGGCGACGGCCACGCCAATCTTTTCCTTGTTATGCATGTTGAACCTCAGCAGGAGACGCCACGGCAGCAATGCGAGAGCAAAGTCGCAGAACGCAGAGCAGGCTGAAGGCGTCAACAACTCAGAGAGATGGTCAAGACATACGATGTGGGGTTTCGCATACCTCCGACAAACAAGCTGTAGTTAACCGTCACAGACGCAGGCCAGCAATCTCCTGGGAGCATCACGTCCCACGTCTTGGCGGGCGGGTTGCACGATACCCAAAAGAAGACAGCGCTGATATAATGCGTGACGTTGAGCAGGACGAGGAGCCCGATGATGAACCATCTGATCCAACCGTCGGCCAGTCTCAGCAGGGTGATGGCGAACGACGTCTTGCTGCAGGCCACGGCAATGATGGAGGTGAAACCGGAGACCGTGCTCTGTATTCCAAACGTAATGAGGTTTTCCAACGGTACCTCGAAGAAATGCAGACCGAATCCGAGACGAGTGTTTGCTGTTGTGGCCGAGCAGCTGACGAGGAGAAGGATCTTGGAGCATAGAAATCAGAGAATGGCTTCTCATCACAGGCTGAGGGGCGAGCAATCCATACCCATGCCGCAATGATGCAGTAGTCATCCCACCACAATCGTCGACTGCGTGTAAGCTTGCTGTAAAGCCGAAGACCGAGGAAGACACCGGACAGCGTAATCATCGGCCACAAGACAGCGAGAATGATGACCCCTCGGTGGTTGGTCGCAAGGTCGACATACACAACCATGGTTGCCATTACGTCGGAAGTTGTGCCGAGCGGCAGTGTCGACAGTGATCATCGGAGGATGTAGGCATCGACTCATTAGATCGTGGCCAGTTCGTCTCATCAAAGGGTTTGCGAGGGCACTCCATGCTGGGCTGTCCTCGACGCCAGATCTGAGAGCCTCAGTTGGGCGGCATGTTGCAGCGGGGACGGCACGAGTCTATTGGAACGAGCAGGGTTGCGGGAACTGGGAAGATCGGAGACCGGGATTCGACATAGAAAACTGATGGCGATCTGGTGGCCCAAATCGGGGAATCTGCAAATCTCGCTCGCTCAGATGGCTCCACCGCGGAAAGCGACCCGGTGAGTTCGGATGCAGTAGCGCTTCGGTCCACAGGGCGGAGGCGGCGGCTGCAAGGGGACGACGGGCTGGCGAAATGGCGAGCATGAAATATTCTACGGAACGAGGTTTAGAGGTTGAACCAGAAGTTCGTCCAAGACGGGTCCAATCCACGCTTGTTCTCGAGGGCCACGGCGTAAGGATCCAGAATGGCTGCAGGTCTAAGTCCCATCGCGATATCGGTATGGACTCCTTCGCTACGGTCCGAGTGCAGAATCGATAGAGAATATTTGGGCCTGAACTCGCTGGAGAAAAAATCGAATGCTACTCCAAACGCCAGGTTGCTCTCCCGCTGGACCCTTTCTGCTGTGGGCATTTGGGTATCACGGATCCCAGTGGTGTCTGCCCATGACCGTATGACGAAAGACATTTTCTGGGCTTCTTCTACACAGAACACAGTACGCGAGGGGATTGCGGATCACCGGTTAAATGTTACCCGGCATGACATGGCTTCAGACGAACCGTCTGTGCGCTACATTGCTAAGCACCACAGTCATTGAATCCATGGAACGCTGCCGTGGAACGATGGACCGGAAAACGGGAAAAATATATGTAACTTGAAAGACGATGCTTTTTAGGCAGAATGCTGCTGAGCCCGTCACAAGGAATTCTAATTTGGATGGTTTGGCAGAGACGCCTGGATATTATCATTCGCTTTGTGGCGTCTAGCTTGGCATTGCTTGTTCTGGGGCACCTCTCAGGGCAGCCACGTGGGTGATCAATCTCTGAGGCTCCACCTCACTGAGAGGAAGTCAGATTCGATTGTGGGGCGGTCGCTTTTGGTCCAACGTCACGTCGGACGATTCCGCGAGAGTGCCAGCCTGCCAGGAGATGCCTTCAGGAGTGTGCTGAGGTGCGCATGAGGACGGTGAAAAAAATCAATACTCTGACCTATCGCGATTTCCAGACTCCCTCATCCCCCTTGAACTCGGCCTGTCTTGCTGTTTTGGAGACTCCGCCCAGATTGCCTGTTCAAGTTTCGGCGCTCGTCGCCACTCCTGATACTTCACGGTTGTTTCCTGTCAAGCAAAACGACAAACAAGCAAGCGGCGGATGTCTTGATGCTTGTCAGTTGCCAAATCTTCAAACACGAGAAGTTTCGCGCAAGGGACTATTGCTGTCAAGCATCGCTTTCGAGGACAGAGGCACTGCGGGATCACGGGAAAGACAAGTCCTGCGTGGGATTTGAAGGACCCTGGAAGCTCTTGAGGTTCAAGTCTGCGAAGAAGCAGCGCATCCCCTTGCAACTAGCATGCTCGCAGGCACTGCTCCATTCTGCCTGTTAGTGCAGGCCAAAGTTATGTACGCAAAAATCATCCCCTCAACTACCCCTTCTAACAAATCGGTCAGTCGTGGTACATCACTCGAACAGCACTGAGCCCAACCATCTCATCCACACAAAGGGAAGGAACGGGCAGCCAGCATGCGACCGTCAGACATCACAAAGACAGTTCGCTTCTGAGTCGCACAACTTTTGCGCTCGATCAATTCGAGCTCTGCCCGCACCAAGCCCTTCCCAGACTGTCAATGGACTTTTCCTCGCCAAGTCATTCTCTCCTCGAGCGCCAGGTATTTGGGCGACTCCGGTCTCAGAACCATGCCACTATTGCCAAAAGACCTGCTCGGCCTCCCACCTAGTTTCATGGATCCCACACTCCCAGTCACATATGACCCTCCAGGTCGGTCGTCTTCCGAAGCCCACTCGCTCATCGTCCAAGCGCCATTCTTCGCACAGAAATGAGCCACACGGTGTGCGAGAGAGTGGGTGCGAATAATGAGGCGACGATTTCCGGAACGAGCAGATGGTCAACGACCTGGGAGTTAGGTATCATCAGGGACTCGGAGCCTTTGAATGTCACGTCGCTGTGGTAGCGAAGCTGGGGTACTATGTACGCATATCCGGTTGCTCTTTGGCCGGGCTTTTGTACTGGTATCAGATGCTCAGCGCCCCATCGCCGGGCGCATTGCCGCGGTGGACCGGATCGGCGAAGCCAATGTTGGCTGGTTGCTGCGAGAATTACTTCTGAGCTCTCCCAACAAGAGATCAACAGGTTTCGAAAGAAATCTTCCCGTCATTTAGATAGCTTGTCGCATTTGACAAAGTACCGATCGATAGGCTTAGGGAACGTATTATCGAATGACCTCTAGAAAGGTGGCCAAGGAGAAGGTGGCTGGTGCTGCTTCAGCCAAGGTAAGCATCGACGACGCTTCTTCCCTTAAGACCGATTGTGTCGGAGAAATAAACCGTACCCGTAGAAGTGCGGACACCTTCATTTTGTTTGGCACCATGGTTTGACCAAAAATGATGTGGGGGAGAATTATGAGCCCGATGGTTTGAGAGGTGTCAAAGAAGGTTTATGTTTCAGGAGGAAAGCGATTGCATCCGATCCCTAAGGGTTGAACTATGAATAATTTCCAGAAGGCAAATTTGGATCGAATCATCCATATTTGCGTCACCTTGGGCGTGAATCCACTCGGAGTGGACTTGTTTGATATTAGAGCCGACAAGTCTTCGAGGAAGGACGAATCTCCTCCTCCCTTCCCGTCAACTACGCCTACCATTGGTGATTCGATGTGATCGAAGAAAGTTGGCAATATCCTTGGGCCAGTGGTTGAGTTCCACATACCCGGCAGCTCGCGGCTACAACAACCAGTATTTGTCTGGCTATCTGGATGTTAGGCCGAGTAACCAAACAGCTCCAGGCCCAATGGCCTAGCTTCTTAATATGATCCAGCTCTCCCGATTTGACGAGCTTGTCCAATGCCTTGACGTAACCCCGTGCATGTTCTGCCACCAACCCTCTGTATGTCTCGCGCTGCATGTACTCGAACACCACATACCTAATCCAGGTTGCGAGCTTGACCCTGATAGTTCAGGCGCTCGTTAAGACCGCCTGCCGACGTCCTGGAGGGCAGTGGAAATTCAAAGCCGTGGCGGAGCGCGACATAGGTCCCATTGAACCCTGTGTCGTGACGGGTAAAGCTCCCATCAGACCGCCTCTCCGTGACCTGAATTGCCGAACCTCATCCATCGTTGTAGCTGCTTAGTGAAGACCTCCTATCTGTCTGGGATATATCTGCCTAGGGTTACGGTAGTTCTCGGGGTATTGGGGGAATTACCTGGTAATTACTCGCCTGAAGCCGTCAAAAAATCATGGAGTAGACGGAGAGAATGTTGTGAGTGATCACAGCTTAGGCCGGCGACCAGGGCATCGCATGCCACTTTTCCCACTTCCATGGCATGAAAGGTCGGCGAACACGGACGATGATGATTTATTTACCCAAAGGGTGGAAGATAGTAAGAAGCGGGTCACGGCCTCCAGGGCTAGGTCTGAGAAATGAGGGAAGGGCTCTCGCTACAAGCACTCTGCGGAGCGAGCAGGAAGGTGAGGCGCTGGTGTCACCGGTTGCGTTGTCGAACCATCGTTGGTTGATCAGAGTCGAGGTGCTCTTTGTTTGGTAAAGAAATCGCTCCTTTATAGCTGCCAGTACATCCATATACTGCTTGTGTGACTGCAAAGAATAGCGGTATGACCAAGTCATGTGCCTGTTGCGTCCCACTGATGCAAAAAATCACCAGCTGGCAGCTACAGGCAATAGAGTCCCCCAGACCCGGCAAGCTTCAATACTGAACAATGTCCATGAGGCGGAAACTTTGATACCCGGCGTGACTAGGCTGGCCTCGTGCGAAGTAAAGGACTTGGGGTTGTAGGAGAAGGCGAGGTGAGTCTGGAAAACCGGTCCGGCGAAGCTCGCGCTCTAATTTTGCGTGAACCCTTTTCTCGATCTTCCGTTGATGAGTTGTTAGACCTTTATACGGATCCGTACCCGGGCCAATAATTGTCAAGTTACAGTTTATCTGCGGGACTTCAAAAAGGGAGAGCTTATACACAGTAGACACACACAGTCTCATGTGTGCTTTTCAAGCATGAGAGACGCGCCCTTGCGCTGCGATCCATTTCCCGTCACGTTGCTGGATCAACTGGCTCTCGGGCAAGGTTTCAAGTGGGCCAGCCTGCTGAGAGCGGAACATGATTTGCTGCATCCTTGACCTTCATTGCGGACAAGCCCCACCACGTCTGATGTCGTATTATTCCCAGCGCCGCGGCTATCAACCTGGAAGCAATCCTCAGATCCTTTCCCGGATCCTCATTGCTGCTGAGGTGTCAAGCAATGCCGTAATTGAGAACGCACCGTCATAGCTCGGTATCTACTATTCATCATCTTACCAATTTCGCACCACTGCTGCCCACTCCCGCTTGCAGATCGACCTGAATAAATAAGGTACATAACCTCTGAGCGCCGTCGCATCTTGTCACTCCGCGCAAAGCTCGGCACTGAACGAATGTACGCCCTACAAGTACATGCCCGGGTACCTAATAAGCCTGCAGGACCACTCGCGATCTTCCAAGGCCCAGATTTTCGATCTGTACACAGCAACCGTCTATGACGTCCTCCCAAATACTCGGCCAAGAAAACAACACTACAGGATTTATTACACAATAACTTATTTCGCGAAGATTTTTGACTCGGTACTTCTCACTGCAGTCAAGACATCGCAGATACCCACATCTCGGCGCTAAGCCCCCTCCTGCTTGGCCCTCAGTGCTCCAGGATCAGCCCAGCAAGCCTGGCCCCAACCAGGCCCCTCGTTCGAGAAGCCTTGTCGCACTCGACAATCATACGAACACTCAACCCGCAAAAATCAATTCAATTCGAGAGCCGTGACAATAGATTCGCGATACCTGGCCACTGAAGGTTGGAAATCCCTATCTTGACGCGACCTCACACATAACCGGCCCCTGAACTTTCAGTCGCCAAACATCCGCAGCGAGCGACCCCTGCTCGTATCGCCTCTGGCCCGCCCCTGGGAAGTTGAGCGCAAACCGTCGCGCCGCAAAGTACGAAGCGACTGAGTTTCCCCTGACCAGCGGCCCGCTCCTCGGCGGCGATTCAAGTCTTGTTGCGCATTAACCTGCCATGACCAAGTATCTTGGGCGGCGAGAAGCTAATTGAGCTGTTCGAGACAGGCCTCGACTCTTCTACTGACGACGAGCCCCTCTATCCGACTCTGCCCTTCCCCACCGAATTCCGTAGACGCCGTTCTCGACAAAGGCTGCCACGAGCGCACGATCTGGCCTGCCGTCACCTACCCCGTTTTGTAGCTGCCGGTTACTCGATTGCGCACAATGAACGGAGCGCAACAAACGGACACTCTGGCAGAAAACCCGCAGCAGGGCGCGACAGCATCCCCTGCGCCTGCGAACGGCAACTCGGCGATAAATAAAAAGAGAAAGAAGGACGGTCTGAAGCCTATCATCACTACAGAGGGTCCTGGGTACGTGCATCGCGCTTTTTGCCCCGCTATAAGAATTGTCGATGTCTTGGTTCCTCTTTCAGCACCGTTTTCTAGAAGGCGGTGTTGCCGTCCCGTGGGCTGTGGTTTGATCTCCCCTCAACCTTCCTGGTTGTGAACCCATTGCGCAGCGCGTCGAGTACCTGGTGAGGTGGCGGGGTGCGACAGGTCGGCCATGGGACCCATAAAGCCATGAGGGGGATCGCAAGCCCCGTGCCCCTGTGCGCATTTGCTGCGACATCACACGAACACGGACGCATGGCTATTCGAAATCTGGCACAGCTTGAAGGAGGGGGACTGGCCTGCAGATATTCTTTGCGCCTCTGGCTCTAGTGAGCTTGTGGGCATTTCGCCTTGCGCCAACTCCCCGAGTCCGTTCCCCCCCTGTATTGCCCGCTTCCGATCTCAGCCCCGCCAGGGGTCGAAGCGACATGGACTCTGCTGCGGCTTGCTTCTAACCTGGAAGCCGATCAAACACCACCAACACAACACAACATTTCTTTACTTGTTCTTACCCGCCCCGCTGCGATTTCGCAGGCGACTTCCAAAGATGAAGACGATGCTAAAAACAAGGTCCCCGCTTTTCTCTTCTGCCCGCCCCTGCTCCATGATGCACTTGCTGTGGTTTGGGCCGCCGAGAGTTCGGCACCGTGCGACCAAAACCCCGCCACCTGCATGCCCCATCACAATGGACGTCCGGGTGTCAGGCGGTTGCCTGTTTTGCCTCGAATCACTGCCATGTCTGAACTAGACCATATGCTTACACGCCGGTTCTCTGCAGGGCTGCCCACCTAGCATCAGCCATGACGCATTCACCGACTTCGTCATCTTCACCAGAAGACGCTGCCGAGAACACCGCCGATGAAGAGGATTCCGAGGACTACTGCAAGGGAGGGTACCACCCAGTGACGATTGGGGAGAAGTTCAAGGATGGAAAGTACACAGTCGTGCGGAAGCTTGGATGGGGCCACTTCTCAACAGTCTGGCTCTCTCGAGACAACACAACGGGGAAGCATGTGGCTCTCAAGGTCGTACGGTCGGCCGCTCACTACACGGAAACCGCCATCGACGAGATCAAGCTTCTCAACAAGATTGTCCAAGCGAACCCAAATCACCCCGGCCGCAAGCACGTCGTTAGCCTGTTGGATTCGTTCGAGCACAAGGGCCCGAATGGCACCCATGTGTGCATGGTGTTTGAGGTGTTGGGGGAGAACTTGTTGGGACTGATCAAGAAGTGGAATCACAGGGGCATCCCCATGCCGCTCGTGAAGCAGATCACGAAACAGGTGCTCTTGGGGCTGGACTACCTGCATCGGGAATGCGGTATCATCCACACAGATCTCAAGCCGGAAAACGTTCTGATCGAGATTGGCGACGTCGAGCAGATTGTGAAACGAGTGGTGAAGAGCGAACCCAATGACAAGGAAAACAACAGGAACGGCCGCAGGAGGCGGAGGACTCTCATCACGGGCAGCCAGCCTCTGCCGTCACCCCTGAACGCAAGCTTCAACCCCAACTCGCTCTTCCCGTCCCCTGGCCCACACAGCCTCGGTCAGATGCTGCACGAAGGTGAGTTATCTTCTTGTTGTCGTCTTTGGCCCCTTTCACTGACTTCTATCTTAACAGGATCCAAATCAAAAGAGCCTTCACCCAAACGAGAAACAGACAACCCCGAGGAGGCACAAAAGCAGCGGGAGAAGACTGCCGATATCCTGACTAGGGAGGTGTCGGGCATCTCGCTGGACAAGACGGCCACGCCCCTCTCGACGACGGGCGAGAAGCGCAAGGCCGACGATATGCAGGCATGCGATATCATCAGCGTCAAAATCGCCGATCTCGGGAATGCGTGTTGGGTCAACCACCACTTCACCAACGACATCCAAACACGCCAATACCGCTCCCCGGAGGTGATCCTCGGTGCCAAGTGGGGGGCGAGTACCGACGTATGGAGCATGGCTGCTATGGTATGCGGACACACTGTTTTACCTACCTTCCGCTCTGACTGACATGGCCCCACCAGGTCTTCGAGCTCATCACAGGCGACTACCTTTTCGACCCGCAGTCGGGCACTAAGTACGGCAAGGACGACGACCACATCGCCCAGATCATCGAGCTCCTGGGGCCCTTCCCCAAGTCGCTATGCCTTTCGGGAAAGTGGTCGCAGGAGATCTTTAACCGCAAAGGCGAGCTGCGCAACATCCACCGGCTACGCCACTGGGCCCTGCCCGACGTCTTGAGGGAGAAATACCACTTTAAGGAGGACGAGGCCAAGCGCATTTCGGATTTCTTGACGCCCATGCTCGAGCTGGTGCCCGAGAAGCGCGCCAATGCGGGAGGCATGGCGAGCCACTCGTGGCTGGACGACACCCCCGGCATGCAGGGCATCAAGATTGACAAGGTTGAAGTCGGCAGCCGTGGGGAGGGTATAGAGGGATGGGCAAGCGAGGTCAGGAAGCGGTAGATGGCGGCTTTACACGAAATCTGTTCTAGATGTTTTCTCCGTCCGTCAGTTGCCGGGTTGGACGGTGGCCGGTCAGGCGCGCTTGGAGGTTTGTCAATCTCCCCCGCCCGGACTGTGGTCGTCGTGGTTTGGGCTGTCCCCGCCAGCTGCGGCAGAACTGGACAACGAGGGCCGGCAGAACAAGGGGGTGTCCAGGTCTTGACCTTCTTTCAGCTTTTCTTCCCCTATACGTTGACAACCTCTCCTCCTTCCGATGGTATAGCCTGTCAACCTACCCGTCTATTCTACGAAAATTTTGTCTGTTCTGTCCTGTTAAAACGAAGACGAGATTTTCCCCTGCCACTGTTTAATGTCCCCTCTTCAGTCCCCCAAACCATCTGGATGCTTTCTATGGCTGGGCATCATTCCTTTGGGAAAGAGAAGACATGCGACGTTTTTGGTCTCTTTGATGACATGATACATGTTAACACGATGAAACGTCTCACATCCATTTTCCCTGCATTTTGGCGGTCTGATATTTGGAGTACCAATGTCAATGCTTGATTTCTCTTGCTTTGCTTTGGTTGTTGATGACGATAATATAGGGATAGAACACATCTGGGTTGTTTCGCCCCTATTGTTTGCGGTCCTTGTGGTTGAAGCATCCCGGCCAATCGTGCTGTCTTTCGTTTCTGTTGTACCATGTCGCAGGTGGTACCGCATCCATAAGGCACATGTATCTCATCCGACTATAATACTTGTATCCATCATTCATGGGTTTGGCAACTCTCGCTCATCCGTCGGTTATACCGACGGTACTTGGTTGAAACTTGGACATACGCTCATGACTGTCTCGGTGGAGGTAATGAAAAGCATATCTCATTCTGTGCCGCCCGCCTGATCCTCTCATTATTCCGTATATTGTTTGTTTCCATTTTACATGGCGCTGAGGGCCCTGCCATGGTAAACGAGGACCCTTCCCCCTGACAACGGAGGAGAGCCAACGCCCCCCTAGTGATACTGCTTCCAAGGCCGTCCTAAAAATGAATCCCCATATCCGCCAGTGCCGAATGTAGGATCATACTTCCATGAAACACCCAAGCCTGCCGGCCCAATCTGTGCAGAATAAAATCCCAATTTCGTCAGTGGCTTGCTCTCCATCAGCATATGAGACAATGCCTACGGCAAAACCCCCCCTCTCGCATCACAGTCCCTCAATCACAGCTAGCGACGTCCTCCCTTCCCCTTCTGCGTGATCCTCCTGAAGGCTTCCAAGCCCGCAGACCCGACGGGCCGGAACTCTGGCGCGCCGCGGGACGCGTCGAACGTGCTGCGTGGGGCGATGGTGTAGCTCGCGGGCAGGCCGGCGGGCAGGGCGCGGTTAGTCTTCTTGATCTCGGGTGCCAGCAGGCGTTCGCGCTCCAGCTCGAAGCGCGTCTTGCCGCCCGCGGGCCGCTGGGCCAGTGTCATCTGCGAGCCGGACACGGCGGCTTCCTGGCGCTGGGCCAGCTTCGCGGCGCTGGTTTGGGGTGGGTGAGTTAGCATGAGGTGGGAATGAAAGAGGCTTGGTGGGAGAAAGGGGTGCTCACGCGAAGTCAAAGTCGCGAGTTTCAATATGCCGTTTCTTGTAGTCGTCCGTCCGCTTCAAAACTGGACGGCTCCATTCACCGACTAGGCGCTCGGCTATGCGCTTGATGCTGGGCTCGGGTCGTTTGCTTCTTGTATAGAAGTAGACGACTTTGCCGATACCGCTGCTCAGAAGCACCTCTTTGTTGATGGGTAGCTTGGCGAGGGCATTGAAAATGTCACGCTGGATATTGTAGGCCGGCAAACTGCCGTCATTCAATGGCTCGAGGAAATATTTGACCGACTGAAGCAGGTTGGTCTCGGGGTCGAGAACAGAGTCTTGAATGGAGGTTCGGTTGAGGAGGGCCGTGACTTGCGGGAGGAGTTTGAGCTTGTGGGTGGCAGCCATGCCCTTCTCGCGGGCCTCGTTGTCAGCCAAACAAGCCTTCTCCATCGCTACCTTTAAGTTCGCAATTTGGTCGTCAATCTCATCCTCGAGGTCCTGGATTATCATCAGTGAGCTGCATCACATAAAGATGGAACGACGAATGCCCATACGATATCGTCCTTCTTGCGCCTGCGCTTCGTCGGGTTCTTCAGAGCGTTATCCATAGCTCGCTGGATTGCCCGGCGCCGCCGCTCCTCGGGCGTGAGGTTCTCTTCATTTACTTGCTCCTCTTGCTCAGCCTCCTTCCTCGCAGCCCGCCGTTCACCGCCGGTAGCGCGTGCCTTTCTGGGTCTCCGCTCGCCGTCCTCCACATCGCCACCGTCATCAACCGTCGCCCGCGCTCGCTTCTTCGGCCTGCGGCCCTCTTTTGGCTTCTTCACGGTCTCGGCATCGGTCCGCTTGCGCTTGGCAGCCTTCAAAGTCTTTGCAACATTCTCGTCAATCTCGACGGGCCGCTCTTCGAGAGTGGGATCGTAGTCCTCGAACTGGTCTTCGTCAATTTCAGAGAGGATATCGGATTCCTTGTCGGAGTCATTGCCAGCATGGTCATGGCGTATATCTGTAGGCCTATCGTGCTGCTCCTCCTGATGGTTAGGTTCGGCCGGTGAGGCAGCCTGCGAGGAGGTGTCCGACATGGTGTTCTGAGTCGCGGCCCGTTTCGAATCAGCAACCGCGTCCAGTTTGCTGAATTGGCGATTGATGGATCTCCTGGATCAAGGAAATCGAAGTCGATGCAAGATGCAAAGAAAAGAGATGGTTGTCCAGTCGATTGCCGATCGTTTTTCAATCGTGAATACGTCTCTGGGATCGGGTACCTGTCGCTTTGATTGTTGCCTTCTGCAGGTGCTATCAGAAACCGCCTTCTCACAATCACAGTCGCGATTTGATTGAGAAATTTAGCCGCGAATCATCCGGCGCATGGCAGGGCGAGCAGGGTAACGTAACAAGGGTGGGCCAGTAAATCTTCCAGGACTGCAAGCCTTGTTTACTTCAGGAGAGTTGCCACCAACGACGCACCTCGTCGCGCCTTCTGTCACGGCATTGCCTTGTGAAAGAGAGAAAACGCGCCCAGCCCTTGCTGCCAGAACCGGCTGTTCTTCCACATTTTCCTCTCACATAGCTGATTACACCACTTGCTACGCCATGGAGCGCCGAACCTTCGAGGGCCCCATGGACTGGGAATACCAGTCGCAACCCCCTGTGGACCAGTCGAGTCCCTTTGCAAAATTCTCTCAGAAGCAGCCAGCATGTGAGTTCTTTTGGATACCTGCTACGATTGCGGGACCTCTGCCCTATTTACACAGCGACCCGTTCCAAATTTGAATTCCTACTTTGCTACCCACCGTCGAGTCACGACACATAGCGCATCAGGGAGGAGACTAACCAAGCGGCCACTTCGGTAGCGACGTTCAACTCGCCATCAAAACTCCGCTCGGCCAACCCAAATCCCTTCGCGTTCTCAGGCAACCCCAAAGGCTCACCAATCAAACCTCAGGAGCAATTTCGCCCCCCTCACGCGACATTATTCAGCCCTCAACTGCAGAGCAGGCCATCAGGTCCAGCATTCCGGAACCCCGCGTTTACCACCCCTCAGAAGCGTCTCGATGAAATTGTTTTCTCAGAATATTCCGGCGCGGAGACCAGCCCTGCCATGACCGATACATCAGAAATGCCACCGGATACCCCCGAGTACGACCGGGCGGACGAGGACTTTGGGAAGCTGACTCTCACACCATCTGCCGGAAAGACGCTGTTCAGCAAGACGTTGCTTCGGAATCATGCGTCGGGGCGTGGAGAGATACCGAGAGCGAATCGAGACAAGGTTCGGAAACGGAAGCGGACCCAAGGCGATAGGGACGTGGGCAGCGTCCGGCCCCGTCTTCCCCACGCCTCCGACGATTCGGACAGTGATTGGGAAGGGGAATCAGTCGCCGGGACGAAACGCATCAAGGACGGGAAGACGGGACGGCGGGGTTGGTTCAACAATTTCCTCTCGGCCGTGAGCGACCACCCGAGCGCGCCAGCGATCCTATCCAAATGGTTGCAGCTGGGGGTCAATGTCATCCTTCTCAGCATCGTTCTCTTCGGAATATTCGCTATTCTCACGCAGATAAGGTCCGATCTGTCTCACGCGAGCGAGAAAGCGCGGGCAGCCATCGTGAGCGAGATGTCAATCTGCGCCGAGAACTTCCGAAAAAATGGCTGCTCGCCGAGAGCAAATCGGCCGCCGGCGCTGGATGGACCCTGCAACGAATGGGAGGCGTGTATGAACCAGGACGCCTCGGCCGTAATGAAGGTTCAGATCTCGGCAAGGAATGTCGCCGAAATCATGAACGAGTTTGTTGGTGTTTTGACTTTCAAGACCTGGGTAAGTCGTCGCAGGATGCAGCTTCCCCTTCATGGCACTGACGATCCTCACCAGGGCTTCATCCTTTCACTTTTCCTGGTGGCAATCGTCGCTAGCAACGTCGGCTTTGGGTTTCTTCGAGAATCCACGCTTGCCCACCCAGCACGGCCGGCAGAGCCCCTACACTCGCCGCCCGCAGTGCCATCCCTTCTTGGATCAGCAGCGGCACACAACCCACAACAAGCGTATATCTGGGCTCCCATCAGCCAGACCCCTCGGCATGTTCGGAAGAATTACTTTGCCAACGATGTTACGGACTCGGAGGCATCGCCGGACCTGAAGATGATCTTGCCGCAGCAGACCCCTTCTGGGAGGAGAAGCCCTAGCAAGGGTGATAGGAGGCAAAGCCCCTCGAAGGGTTCGCGGGGGCGTAGCCCGACTAAAGGGTACTAGGGGTCATGAACAGATGTAGGACTCGTTGGGCGTGTTTGGCTTGTCACCATGTAACAACACATCATGTACTATCATTGGCTTCCTTTGTCCGGGTTGGTTGCGGTCAGTTGCGATTTTAGATACCGAAACATTTGGGTGGTGGAGTAGGTATGGCAATGGCACTGGGATGAAGATCACTTCGAGGAGCGCGTTCTTTTCTGAACTCAACACATTCCGCCTGTCTGTTTCTCCTAAGCGGATCGCAAGCCAACGACTCTCACAGCGTGAGGGGCTGCTCCTACCTAGCAGGCAGACGTCACAAGACACCTGAAGGTAGTGTAGACAGTAAGGTAAGCATTGCCGGAACAGGTTGCAGCTGCAGTGACATCCCCACCGGCATGTCCGGCACTTGTTTGTTGCACCATGTTCTGGAACATTTCGAACCACAAGAAATCGGATGGTGCCAAGGCTTGGCACGGGTGCAACGGCGCCGGACAAGAATTAAGCACTGGTGACCTGAGTGACGGACAGTTCTCTGAGTCCAGCTCGTGGTATTCGATGTTCCAGGCTTGGAACATGTTTAAGATAGATCTGGAGGAAATCACCAAATATCTCACCGTAGCTTAGTAAGACTTCAGGTAAGCTACCTATACGTATTTAGCAGCGGACACTGTGAGCTATTATAGTACGGAGTAGGCATTCTAGAGACCAGCCTACAGTTTCGTGAACGTTCCGGAATACAAGAGAAGAATGACAGGCCCTTTGCTTGCACACGGCTGGGTCGGACGACAGGGAGCTCAGATAGCGTTACAGTAGGTCATAGCTCCTATCCACTAGGGTCCAGAGCGGGGGTTCCTTCCGTATATCACAGAACTGTCATGGGAGGAATGAGTTAGGTAAGCTTCCACCTACCTTCCAGGTTAGTATCCTCCCCTCTTCGACGCGACTTCCTGCACACCTGCCGCCTCAAACAAAAGCCTTTCATCCAGATCGTCGCGGTTGTAAGCTGGCTTCGCTTTGGCGAGTTGGTCGCATCTGAACGCGCTGCGCGTCGTTCTCAGTTCGACGTCCGTTCTTCCCTCTTCCCTCGACTCCTTTCCAACTCGAATCACTACACAACGTGGAAGCTGCAGGCGGCATGGTTATGGAGAGCAGCTTTGACGACTGAGCTTGAGTCTGTCGTCCGCGAATTTTCAAAACAAATACCGCTTGTTAGTTATCCATCAGCCGTCGGCCGTGCTGAGCATCCGATAATCGCCTCAGAATTCCGAGGTCACTTGCGCGCGTCCCGAATCACCATTCCCATCTGTCATAGCTGCTTCCAAACCATGGTTGGGCCCGACGGCCAGCGCATCTCTCGAGTCAATTGTTGGATGCCGTCCGACGCAGGGACGCGCTGGATTTGGGCACATGGATCCGATGGAAACGACCCCGACGGGAGCCAATCCCCCGCCGCCTCAGCCACCACCACCACCAACTCCTCCTCCTCCCGCCCCAAACTTAGCTTCGGGCTCTACATTGGGCGTCATTGGTAGTGCGTCCAAGAGAAAGAGGGGTCCAGGTGTTGTGACACCCAATGCCTGTACTGAGTGTCGCAAAAAGCGTGCAAAGGTTCGTTGGTGATTCGCCAAAATCCGTCTGTCCGAAGCCATTGGCAGCCAGGATTTGAAGCTCACGTCCGTGTCTCGACTAGTGCGACGGACAGATGCCATGTAGTCGATGCAAGGCACAAAAGGACGTCGAATGCAGATACGAAATACCGGTCCGTCAGTCCAAGGAGACGCTGCGTACCGAGATCCAGCAGCTTCGACGAGCGAAACGCAACAATGACCAGATTATTGCCGCTCTCGTTCGTCCGGACCTCTGCGAAGAGGTGCTGACGCGTTTGCGCAACGGCCAGAGTGTGGAATCCATATCGCAATGGCTTGGGGGAACTCTGCCGGCGGGGAGCAACACGCTGCCCTCAATCAGTCGTCTGCTTAACCAGGGTAGCGTTGCCGCGCCGCCCATGTCCGGATACGTGCCTGCTCCTTCTAGCACCTACCCGCCACTCCCATCTGAATTGAGTACGGTTAGCCCCGTTCTGGGCCAGCAGCCGCACGGTATCCGGCAAGACGCCGAACAACTGAGCCCTTGGGGTGGCCAATTTTCTACTCAGAGCCATGAAGGCTCCCAGCCGGATGCAATGAATTGGAATCCGGAGGCCATCATGGACAGCCAGTCGCGCATTGGATCCTGGGTTGAAAGTCAAGCCGACAAGTCAGAGGTAGCTCGAGGGGGCGGTTTCGATCAGATCCTTCTCTCTTCGGTTCCCGAGATGAAAATTCCGCCCAGGACATGGACAAAACTAACAGACGATCCAGCGCTTGTTCAGCATCTTTTGGCTCTGTACTTCTGTTGGGAGTACCCCACGTTTGCTTCGCTCAGCAAGGAGCACTTTCTCAAGGATTTCATGGAAGGCCGGCCCCGGTTCTGCTCGTCCATTCTGGTCAACGCGCTACTGGCGCTGGGATGCCGGTTTTCGAGCAAGCCCAACACGCGGTCCAATCCGGACGACCCGCACACGTCGGGCAACCACTTCTTCAAGGAGTGTCAGCGCCTATTCTATCAGGAGCAAAACCACCACAAACTAACCACCATTCAAGCCCTGGGTATCATGTCGATAAGGGAAGCAAGCTGCGGCAGGGACTCTGAGAGCTGGTATTACGCTGGCCAGAGCATGCGGCTCGCCATCGAGATGGGACTGCATCGGCTGCAAGACGATTCCATGGAAGATGATGAGAGCGCGGTCCAGACAGCCACCTTTTGGGGGGCATTCGCTTTAGATCAGTAAGCGCCCACCGCCGCAAAGCTAGCTCTCCCGGAGACCGTGGTTGTATGGTGCAATTCCTAATTGACGGGTCAGCGCATGGTCTTTGGCAACCGGGTCACTTCCCCAGTGTTCCTGCTTACCTCGCTTACCACCCAAGCCGGCGATAATAGACGACATCGAAGCATCGTTGTGGATTCCTTATACCGACGACGGTGAGAAGACCCTAACCATCTATTCTCGTGTTCCGGACACTAAGTCTCCAAACAGGCGCACCACTACAGCGGTCTTGCGAGCAACCCTCCCATGTCCGCTCCGTGTACAAATGCTTTTGCGGGCTGAGCGAACTGGTTCATCAGTCCTTATACATACTTTATTCTCCGGGCCGGCCACTCATGAGCAGAGACCTGCTCACCATCTACACCCAATACCTGAACTGGTACGACAGAATACCCGAGGTTCTGCGGCTAGGCCACAACTTCACTCCGGCCGTCTTGTTTGCGCAGTGAGTTCCACAAGCTCTTCTCTTGATTGCTCTGGGGCCGTTTCTGGCCTCGTGGACCCCGTCATCCTGACATTGGAGGGCAGCATGTACTATCACTTCGCCATCTTGTCTCTCTTCCGACCCCTCATCAAGCTGCGAATCATCGGGTCCAGCATAACTCCACGTGATGTCTGTCTGCAGGCAGCTGATGCCATCACTGGCCTCCTGCGCTCGTATGCGCAACTCTACACGTTGAGACGGACGCCATCGTTTGTTCCGTACTTTGTCCTCACATCGTCCATCATGCACCTCGCTATCGCAGCAGCGGACTTCAACTCTCGAGCCTATGAACAAGGCAATGCACCGGCCAAGCTGGACCCACACGCCGCCGACGCCCTCGCCCGGGGAATTGCGGACCTGACCGAGATGGCACCTTGCCATCATTTTGCAGAACAAGCACTAAACATACTCCGATTCCTAGCCAAGAAGTGGAACATCGACGTGGATATCGTAAAGACGGGCGGGGATGAGCGCGTCCAGGTGGCGTTGCCTGATCCATACCGGGCTACGCGACCCGTAAGCACCAGTCTCAACTTCTTCGCGCCGAATTTCGTGGAATCCGACATGACCAGTACATTGGCCTACACAACACCGTCCACTGGCCAGGGCAAGAAGATTGCCGGCGCATCCGAGGAGGCGGCACATATGGCCGAAGATATGGAGAACCCGCTGTTTTGGCCCTTCCCCATGCAAGGCCGTCCCATATTGCCAGCCGGAGCAGAATTAAGGGAGGCCGGGTTTGAGTTCATTTAGGAGTCTTCATGTGGCCGAGGTCGCAGTGGCCTCATCACAGTATCTGTGCCATCTACTGACTGATTGCCCGTACCAAATGGTGAAGAACTACTCAGGGGACGGAGGCAAAGACCGGCTATCTGGTTCTACGGATCTGTGCGGATTTTGTGATCAGGAGGATCGCTCGAGGAAGGGCATCGACATACAAGAAACATGAAAGGAGTTTGAGACAGGGCGGCCCATTCTTTTGCAAGATATAATCATGGCATGTCCCGGGGAGGTACTGGGATTGGATTGGGGGCCTCTACGGATTACGGTTGACGTTGTATTTCGCCTCTCTACCCTGTCCTCGATACCCCTTATACTACTCGAGAGGAAACAGTATTGCTTTATTAGGGCAGCGGGCAAGAAATGGCTGGGTGAGGAGCAATGAGGACAAGTTCACATGCCATCCCGCGCTTCCCTCTGTGGTGATGTCGGCCAAACTAGGGGGTAAGGCTGGGCAGGCTCGAAGCGTTCCATGAGGTCTGTGGATAGGCCCTTCTCTGCTCTCAGGGGAACTCGTTCGATGCTGACTGCCTTTCTTCGCTGCACAACAGCAAGCACAAAAATTGAAAAGGAGAGAGACAACCGATCCACCAGGATGCCCGATTCCAGAACCATTGAGAAGCCAAACCGGTGGGACTGAAGTGTTTCCACCCCAAAAAGGAGTGTTGGCATTAATTGGACATTTGGAAAGCGGATCGGACAGAATCAACATCCCTGACCCACAGCGACGGAAAGATAAGATCCGATCTCGATTTTCTCACCTCAGATGACCGCGGTGGCCGAGGCAAGCAGCTGAGCGGAGTAAACGAGCCTCTTCAGTCAGGACGGCGCAGCCAGGCGAACTGCACAGTTTGTTCGACGGTTCGAAGGTAATGCACGAAAACAAACAACTGCCAAGCTCCAACCCAGCGACACACCTCACTCGGCGCGTGCTGATTGGGCGCCTAGCTACAGGGCGTCTTGTTTCGAAACGCTGTTCCTGGGCTGCGTTTCAGGTGGAACAAGGGGTGTCCTAGGCCAATCAGCGGCTGCTGGGTCTTCCATCGCGTGGTAGCAGGCGATCTGCCGCACCCGAGTCTTCAGTTTTGGCAATGTTGCTTTGCTTCAAGATTGTCTTCCAGGTTGTTACTCAACAGAAGTTTGGACAGCTGGGTGTGCCAGGACAAGGCATGGAAATCGACTGTTCGCGGCATTGGGCCTGCGCCGCCGGCGGACGCTTTTTATCCATGCACAACACTCCCTCCCGGCCACCCCCGACCCCGACCTGCGCCGCGCGCTGCATCCCTGAGCCCTCCCCGCCTGCTCCCCCTGTTCCATTTCGATTTCCTGCGGTCTCGTATTATATTCCTGATTGTGTCTCGCACTGCACGTTGGGCTCGCTTCGGTGCATCTGAACTTCTTCGTTTCTTCATTTTGTCCGTTTTTCGCACTTTGGTGGTTGCTCTGCCCGTGATGGAGAGCTGACGGCGTTGGACTCATGCCGGGAGCACCTCCTTCACCCTCTTTGAACTTAGTACCTACTACTCCTTTCTTTTGACCTTGCGACCTGTCCGTTTTCCCCCCACTGGGCCTTTTCGATCCCGAGCTCAGGCTGGGCTGAGACTCGGGCCGCTCAGCACTCTCTTTTCTTTCTTTCATTCACTCACATACGTAGCTTACATTACTTGGTCTCGCCATGGATCCTTTCCATGATCCGCCTCCCGACAGCCTGGCGGCCGCCCGACTCCATGTTCAGGCCCTCACCGAGTGTGGATTATCCCGCGAGGCGCTCCTGCGTGCCCTATTGGAGAACTACGAGGATGGTAAGAGCCGATGGCTTTTGGAGAGGAATTGGGCGACTGACGCAGAGCAGGAGAGGCACCACCGGCGGTAACGTTGGAGGCGGGCTCTCCGCAGCAGGCTGCGCAGCAGGGACAGCAGCCGGCTCATCAGGGGAAGATGCCCTCACATGGAAGTTTCAACACTAGGTTATCCATTTCCACGACGAGCTCCCATTCATCCGGAAGGGCAAGTGTTATGTCCACGGCAACATCGATGAGCTCGGTGTCATCCCCAGGCGGGCTTGGGACTGGCGCTCCGGAAATCGCTGCGCCGCCGCCATTGCCTCCGCCGCCTGCGCCGCCCATCAAGAGCAACAACAGGGGGAGCTCCAAACCGCGAGGGACTTATTGGTGCACCTTCTGCGACGTCGACTTCCAACGCAAGTTTGACTGGAAGCGGCACGAGGACGAGTTCCACGAACGCTATAAACGCTACCCTTGTCCAAATTGCAACCGCATCTTCTGGGGCGCCAACACGTTCAACCAGCATCACAAGAACGCCCATGGCTGCACGACGTGCCCACATGCTGACCGGGTGGTGAAATATACACAGAAGAAAACAGCCTGGTATGTTTTTCGTTTGCTTCCCTGGCCCGGAGGCTCTGTGGCCGGTGCCTTTGCATGATGCCGCCTTCACCGCCAGCTCACGCAGACCGACTGGAAGCTGACTTCTCGGCAGGGCATGCGGCTTCTGCGGTGGATTTCTTGCGAGCCGTGACCGCTACTTCGACCATGTCGCCCGCCATTACGAAGACGGCTGCAACAAGTCGCACTGGAACCACTCACTGGTCATCTACGGCCTCCTGCACCAGCCATCCATCAGCCAAGCATGGAAAGAACTCGACGCCGAACTCTACGGCCATCTGCCACGCAACCAGCAGCCCCTGTTCGAATGGGATCACGACTTGACGGGCCATGCACAGGGCTTTCTCGAGGGCGAAAACCCGGGGAAGCTGCAGGATCTGCTCGAATTCTTCAACGAGGGCCGTGACGACCCGAAACTCCTTGCTCGCCTCGCGCACGAGTCGGCCACCATCAGGCTTCGTAACGAGGTCCGGCCAACGGCTACGCCGATCCCGTCAGCTGCCTCGCCCAATGCACGACCCACCTCAGAACTGCCGAAGCAGAACAAAGTGTTAAAATCATTGCCTTCAACGAAACATACGTCCACGCCCCAGGCAACACGGGGCCCGTCACCATCGTACGACGACGGACCGTTACTGAAGAGGCAGCGTAGCCTCGCCCTCATCCCCGACACGTTCCCGAAGAATAACCCTTTCTTTTCCCAATCCCAGCAACACTCACAGCCGCACACGCCGCAGGAGGCAATAGCAGCCTTTCCACAACCGATGATGGGAACGGCAACGGGGGGATTTTATGATTTGACAGCGACGCACGTCCATCCGCACATGCAAACGCTCATGTCGCAGATGACGCCACAGCAACAGCAGCAATTACACGAACAGGAGCAACAGCAGCTACAGCAACCTCAGCAACAACAACAATCACAGCAACAGCAGCAGGTGCAGAATCTGATGGTGCCGTTGAATATCTACGACGACTGGAGCTCCATGGCCGGAACGGTAGTGGATGATTCGATGTTTACGAGCGCCATGGCTATGTGGCAGCCACCGGACTTGGGGAGGGGACATGCCGGGTCAAGCGGATGAGGCGGGATTCTCGGCGGGCTTAGCATTCACTTCCTCTTCCCTTCCTTGAAGGTGACGGGAATTTAAAAGGGCATGACGAATTGCTGCTTTGTTTATCGCCAAGTCAGCGCTTCCAAAAACAGAAAGGCTAGAGGCCTTGCGGAACCTTCATCCTGTCGGTTTCGCGACATCATCATCTCTTTTCTTCTTTTCCCTTCAATGCTCAACGTGAGCAGAACATTACCAGTCGGATTTGACATTCTATGTCCCAGGGGACCTCTGGTAATGCTGTATATATACATAAATACATTTACACGGGTGATGATGGACTGGGACCGGGAACTAGCGCCGGGGTGGGCTGGCGGACGGTCATCCTGGGTGAGACGGTTGGGTGCAAGAGGAGCACGGGAATTCAAGCGATTCCTGTGTTGTGACATGGCTGTTGGAGTCAAGAGGGAGCAGAACCGAAACAATTCCATGCTTCAGAGCAAGAATCTGAGCTCAATTCGTCCTCACAGTATGCCCTTGACTGCCTCTTTTAGTTGCACTGCACTTCCGCCCTCGCTCAGCCAAGATCACATGGAATCCGAAAACAACCACCTCAGATAGCGTCCGTGCTGCCCAGACAGTCGATCGTTGCCCCATCGATCTGCCCGATCCGAAGCTTGACCAAGCCCTGCAGGGGTGTGGCTGGCCGTGGCAGTGGAACCTGAAGCCAAACGCGGAACTCAGGTTCATCAATGATCAACCCCCCTTGACACTCGGGAGGTCATCTGCATGACAGAACCAGCATGACGGGACGCGGGTAAGGCTGTGTCTGGTGGACCCCGTGTTTTCAGGTTTACATCCACGCGGGTGTTTGATTCATCAACATCCCTGCTTGCAGCAAGCTTTGCTCAGATGCGCATCGGTTCAAGTTGGCCCTGGTGTCATCCGAGCCAGAGCCTTGTTTGTGGACCGACGTATGGATGCTTGGCCTGGCGAATCAGCATCGCGCAGTCGAGGGGATCTCGAGAACCGGTTCACCTGATACCTTGACTTTATCCAGGGTTCCCGAAAGACAAGCAATTGTGGCAGTTGTTGACGAGGATCTGAAGTTCACGCGTGTAGTGGGGGATCAGGGTTGAACTCGTCCCTGCCCCAGGCACTTATGGAGTATAGCTTAACTGGTCCATCTATGTACTGAGCAAGGCTTCAGTCTCTTCCGTGCGGAAGTAGGAATGATTCAATTCTTACTTTTCGGCAATCTATGGCATATAATCCAACGCAAGTACCTTAGTTACTCTTACTCATTCATATATGGTCCATATGTCATACAACTTCCCACCTGCCTGCTGTCGAACTCGAACTTCCCTACGTTACATCTTTGTTGCCCTTCATTGACCACTTCCTATCCTGCCCATCTCAGTTTGTCACGCAGTATCAAGCTGCCAATGCCTACAGAAATGTCCGCGATGAAGACCCAGGCTGCAGCAGAGACAGGTCCTAGAGGTGTGTACTTCATACCCTTCCGTTTAGGCGCCTCCGGGGCCGTTATCTTCCTTTCCAACTCTTCCCTCGAGTGCGAGCAACAGCCAGACTGAACACGAAGAGCATAGCCAGCAACAGCTTTATGAAGATTGAAACATGGCAATCCCGGCCATCAACAGCCAGCTCAGGCACAAACCAGAATCAAGACCCGTGTGTCTCTATTCTCTCAACCGCTGGCTTCAGGAGAGCAGGAGTGACCAGCCGTGGTGTCTAACAAACCTGCGCGGGCTTCAGTGTCAGACTGTGGAATACCCTGGCAACTCAAGTAGGAGGTGAAATGTGGTGTAGGAGACAAGGGTTACACCTTTCGAACAAAAGCCTGCAAAACCACCTATGTACATGTAGGGGAATTAAGATAAGATGTTCCATGCGGCTTCCATTCTTGATAACTACAGTTCAAGTTCAATGTATTCGTAAGTGGTACCGTACATGTAGTTTACCATTCTCTTATCCCTGGTCTCGGAGCAAGGTCAAGGAATATTTTCTTCGACTTTGTTCGATGAGATTGCCGCGGTGACTTTCATCCTCAACCTTATGACTTGTACCTCCTCAAGTAAATGTAGCAGGGAGACTCGGGGACAAACGAGGAGAACGACAGAGTCAACCCCGCGGTCCATCGATTAGTCATTTCCTAGTGACAGTATCAGTCCTGACACGGTTCGGTCAGTCCACCTTTTGGGGCCGCTGGCATGCTTCAATTTTGAATTGAGCCATTGCGTTGCTGGAGGGCAAGCAGTCTTACATGTTCCTATTGGCCAGTGAGGATACTACTCATCCCGATAATTAGCATCCGGTTTCAACGGCTCAGCCATCTCACATTTGTCCGTTCTCCCGGGCCCCTGACGTGTACTTCAAGATGAGCTTGGGTAGGGGTCAGCCTTGCGTCTCGGCAATGCTACGTTTCCAGGGTCCAATGCATTCTCAGTCAGCATGCCCAGTGCAGATTTTCTGCGTGGCGCTCAATAGAAGCGACTGTAGCCTTTTGATTCGACAACCAGTTGTTTCTCAATTGTGGCCGGCGTCGGCTGCACGCACCATGCCTTTTGGGACCACAACAGACCAGGTTCCCCCCTTTTAATCCATCTTGGGTTCGACGAGATGCGACTCACAACAGGTATATAAAGACGCTATGCCCTGGTGGGGTTTCTCTGAGGCTCTCCGACCGATCAGACTTTGGTTGAGCCTCAGAGTGCCTACACACAATGCTGGGCTGCATCTTCTCATCTTTCCTGCTCACCGCAACGGCGGTGGGGGCACAGGAGTCTCAACTGCTGCCTAATGGTCGGCAGTACGACTATGTGAGCCAACGTCAACCAAACCAACCGCCCAAAGCCTGGACTAACCGTATGTCAGATCGTTGTCGGTGGCGGCACGGCAGGAATTGCCCTGGCGACACGGCTGAGCCAAGGACTGAAGAGCGCCAGCATCCTCCTTATCGAAGCCGGTCCGGCCGCCCTTCACGAGGACGGCATCAACGTCCCTGGCCTGAAAGGTTCGACCCTAGGCGGCAAATACGATTGGAGCTTTACCACGGTGCCGCAAACCCACCTCAAGAACCGCACCATTTTCACCCCGCGCGGCCGCGTGCTGGGCGGCACGTCAGCCATCAACCTCCTCACCTGGGATCGAGCGGCAGCAGTCGAGTACGACAACTGGGAAGCCGTCGGCAACCCGGGATGGAACTGGGAGACGATGACGGCCGCCATGGAAAAGGCCGAGACGTACGTAGGGGGTCCGCCCGGGTCCGGCGCGTCGGGTCCTATCGAAGCTGTCATCAACCGCGTCGTGCCCGTGCACCAAGAGTCTTTCATCCCCACAGTCAGCAACAACTTCCCGATTCCCTTTAACCCGGACTCGCTCCAGGGCAACCCGATCGGGGTAATGTACCAGCCCGAAAACATCGCCCCCGCCTCGTACAACCGCTCCTACAGCGCCAATGCCTACCTGCCCCTGGCCGGCGGCAACCTCGCCGTCCTGACCAACACCCAGGTAACCAAAATCAACTTGTACAAACCACCACTCCGCCGCCTCCACCGCGCGACGGGCGTCGTCCTCGCAAACGGCACGTCCATCACGGCGCGGCGCGAGGTGATCCTCTGCGCGGGCGCCATCCAGTCGCCGCAGCTGCTCGAGTTGTCTGGAATCGGGCAGCGGGGGGTGCTCGGTGCGGCGGGCATACCGCAACGGGTGGACCTGCCGGGCGTGGGCGAGAACTACCAGGACCATTTGCGGGTGCAGGTGTCGTACCAGCTGAAGGACGAGTTCCTGGCCGGGGACGAGATCAACACGAACGCTACGTTTGCCGCGGAGGAGTGGGCCAAGAGACTGAGGGGGGAGCCCGGGTTTTACGATGATACTGGCGGCGGCTACGTGTTTGCCGATTGGAAGCGGGTGGTACCTGGCGGGGATGATAGCGCTTTGGTCGGACTGGCGAGGGCGGCGGTTGGCGGGTCGGCGGATGTGGGGCACCGGAAGAAGTTGGAGATGTTGGACGATGCGAGGGTGCCGCAGGTCGAGGTGATCTTTTCGGATGGGTATACCGGTGTGAGGGGATACCCTCCGGTCGGGTCCGAGTTGTACGGGAGGGGTTTCTTTTCGCTGATTGCGGGCCTGATGCACCCGCTGAGCCGCGGCAGCGTGCACATTGACCCGGCCAACCCTGGTGGGAAGCCGGTGATTGATCCCCGGTTTGTCGACAATGAGTATGACATGGCGGGGTTGGTTGAGATACTCAAGTTCTGCCGGCGGATTGCGAGGGCAGAGCCACTGCGGTCGGTGTGGGTGGCCGAGTATGAGCCCGGCGAGGGGCTAGTGCAGACTGACGAAGACTGGAGAGAGTATATCCGGAACACTACGCTAACCATTTTTCACCCGATGGGCACGGCGGCCATGCTGCCGAGGAAGGATTGCGGTGTGGTGGACTCGAAGCTGATAGTGTACGGGACGGCGAACTTAAGGGTGGCTGACGCGAGCATCATCCCGGTCGAGATGTCGGCTCACCCGCAGACTGCAGTTTATGGCATTGCCGAGCGGGCGGCCGAGATCATCATCACGGCGCACCGCTGAAGAGCTGTTCATAGTTGGATGGTGTCATTTTTGCTTTGCCAGCTTGCGATTCAACAAGAATGAGCCGACCGATAATACTGTCACTCAAGACAGAACCAGAAACGTTATACAGAACACTCTGTCCGGCATGGGCGAATAGGCGGTATGGGCAACGCTTGGTGCCGTGATGTTGATGTTGCGGCTCGGTGTCGACAGAGCTTGAACCCTGCCTGGTATTGAGCTTGCATGGATGGATGGAATTTATTTCGCCCGGAGGCGCGAAGCCTAAAGGGCCTTGGCACGCTAACTACATCCAATTCCTTGACGTTCAACCATCAACTCGTACAAGCCCTCTACTCTCTCCCCTTTTCTCACGCCACCTGTTGCCTC